TTGGTCAGAAACTTGGTGATGAGCTTGCTGTTCCCTTCGACAAGTCCAAAAGTCACCGTGCTGCTTTGTCAGCCAAGAAGTATGGCGTGAACAAGAAGGAGTTGTTCCGAGCTTGCATTTCTAGAGAATTCTTGCTCATGAAGAGGAACTCATTTGCTTTCATTTTCAAATTTGCCCTAGTGAGTAAAGCATTTGAGTCTTTTGTATTTGACTTGATTGGAAAACATTGAAACCTTAGTACTATGAGAATGTGAAGTTGAAAATGTCCACATTGGAAAGTTAGAAAACCTTGCAAGGGCGGAGTAGCCCAACTCCTTATAAACCCTTGCAAGGTTTTTGAACTTTCCAATGTGGGACATTTTCACCTTCACATTCTCACAAGTACTTGGCCTCAAAGTGATTCTACCTTATAATTGTTCCTTTTTAACTTGTGTTTCAGCTTATTATGTTAGCTTCTATAACAGCATCGATATTTCTACAAATTAAGATGCACAAAGACACAGTGGAGGATGGTGGAGTTTATATGGGTGCTTTGTTCTTTGCGGTCATTGTAGCAATGTTTAATGGAATATCAGAACTCAACATGGCCATTATGAAACTTCCTGTCTTCTACAAACAAAGAGATCTTCTCTTCTTTCCTTCATGGGCATACTCTCTACCTGCATGGATCCTCAAGATCCCAATCACTCTTGTAGAAAGTGCCATTTGGGTGGTCATTACTTATTATGTCATAGGATTTGATCCATGTGTTGAAAGGTGAGAAAAATAATGCTTCATACTTTAAGTTTGATTAGGATTTGACGAAAGCTCTATGTATTTCAGGTTGTTCAAGCAGTACATTTTACTCCTGTGCATAAACCAGATGGCATCTGGGATGTTCAGGTTCATGGCAGCCTTAGGAAGGGATGTAATAGTTGCAAGCACAACTGGATCCTTTGCATTGCTTATAATTATGGTTTTGGGTGGATTTGTCTTATCTCGAGGTGATTTAACTATAGAAGTAATAAGATTACTAATTTCCACTGCTGATGTGATTCAGATTCTAATTTTAAAAACCTCTTCTTTTTTTGCATCAGAGGCTGTGCCAAAATGGTGGTTGTGGGGTTACTGGGTCTCGCCGTTAATGTATGGACAAAATGCTATTACTGTGAATGAATTTCTTGGAAAGAATTGGAGACATGTAATCATCTATTTCTCTCAAAGTTTGTGTAGCTCCACTAAAAGAAAATTGATAGAAGGTAGAATGATTGTGATCAATGATTATGTGGAGATATTTCTATGTTATAGGTTCCACCTAATTCTACAGAATCCTTGGGAGTTTTGATCTTGAAGTCTCATGGAATTTTCCCAGAAGCACGATGGTATTGGATTGGAGTAGCGGCATTATTTGGATATATTTTTCTATTCAATCTCCTTCTTACTTTGGCTCTGCAGTATCTTGATCGTAAGTATCACGATTCATATGTTCTTTGTGCTTTCAGTTTTGGACTTGTTCATCTAAAAACTGGATTAATGTTGCAGCATTTGGTAAGCCTCAGACAGTACTTTCCAAAGAAGGCATGGCTGAAAGAAATGCTAGCACAACTGGAGAGTTCATTGAGCTATTGCCAAGAGGAAAGAGCTCTTCTGGTAGGTCATTCAGTTCAGTTCCCACATATGTTTCTGTTTTAAATACCCTGTTGAATTCAAGCATTGTTGATGTACAATAACTCATTGCAGAAATTACTGAAGGTCAAAGAAGCTTACCGTTATCTGCAAGAGGGGGAAGAACTGATGAAGCTAATGGGAAAAGGAAGCGCGGAATGGTTCTTCCTTTTCAACCGCTTTCCCTTGCTTTCGATGAGATCAGATATGCAATAGATATGCCACAGGTAACTTTCAACATTAAATTAGAAGTACCTCGACAATAATAATGTTTTGGCTGAATTTTCAATATATTTTCAGGAAATGAAAGCTGAGGGTGCTCAAGAGGATCAGTTGGAACTTTTGAAGGGTGTGAGTGGTGCATTTAGGCCAGGAGTCTTGACAGCTCTAATGGGTGTCAGTGGGGCTGGCAAAACCACTCTAATGGATGTGTTGGCTGGAAGGAAAACTGGTGGACATATCATGGGAAGCATCATGGTATCTGGGTATCCGAAAAAGCAAGAAACATTTGCTCGCATATCAGGATATTGTGAGCAAACTGATATCCACTCTCCTCATGTTACAGTTTATGAATCTCTACTTTTTTCTGCATGGCTTCGGCTACTCCCTGAGGTTGATTCTGCAACAAGAAAGGTACAATTTCAGCATTCTTTTTTTAACAGACAGACAAGACATTATTTTTTTTTTTGGTCGAAGACAAGACACTATTATAAAGCATCAAACATGAACAATTTTGTACTCTACTTACCAAGTTATGTACAAATTGATCTGATGTTTGATGGGTTGCAGATGTTCATCGAAGAAGTCATGGAGCTTGTGGAGCTGACTTCATTAAGGGGAGCACTTGTGGGATTACCTAGTGTGACCGGTCTTTCGACTGAGCAGCGCAAAAGGCTGACAATTGCTGTTGAGCTTGTTGCAAATCCATCTATAATCTTCATGGATGAACCAACCTCCGGCCTTGATGCCAGAGCAGCAGCAATCGTGATGAGAACCGTGAGGAACACGGTGGACACAGGAAGAACTGTGGTTTGCACCATCCACCAGCCAAGCATAGACATATTTGATGCATTTGATGAGGTTAGATATCCCATTTCAAAAAGGAACTGTAACCTGTGTTCCAAAGTAAATGTTTTAAGCACTTCATGTTGCATTGCAGCTTCTTCTGTTGAAATTGGGAGGTGAGCAAATATATGGTGGTCCATTAGGCTCCCATTCCTCTCATCTGATCAAGTACTTTGAGGTCAGGACCATAGAGAAATAAATAATGACATAATCTTCCTTATCATTACTTATTAACTAACATATATATGAGTTTTGTGGCACCAAGGGAATTAATGGAGTTCCTAAAATCAAAGATGGATATAACCCTGCAACCTGGATGTTGGAGATTACTTCGGCAGCACAAGAGGCAGCTCTCGGGGTTAATTTCACAGAGGTGTACAAGAACTCAGAGCAATTTAAGTAAGAGTTTAATTTCAAGTCTCTTCCAGGAGAGGGATGAGAATGCAAAAAGTCTTAGTATTTGTAGTTGATGCATGTGGTTGCTCTATACAATTGTTGATACTCAAAGGTCAATGGTTCAGGAGCAGCAAAGCAACGATCAAGGAACTAAGTACACATCCCTCGGGTTCTAGAGATCTATACTTCCCTACTCGCTACTCTCAGTCTTTTCTCATCCAATGTATGGCTTGCCTATGGAAACAGCACTGGTCGTACTGGAGAAACCCATCATATAGTGCAGTAAGGCTGCTATTCACAACGTTCATCGCTTTGTTGTTCGGTTTGATATTCTGGAATCTTGGATCGAAAAGGTATGTAGATGAGTAAACTTAAACAATGGCTGGAAATGGCATCCAGATTTCTGTTTCTTAATCACCAATATGTTCAAACTTGTTTGCGGACCACAGGACAAAGCAGCAAGATCTCTTCAATGCTATGGGTTCCATGTATGCTGCTGTAATCTTTCTTGGGGTACAAAACGGTGCCTCAGTGCAGCCGGTTGTGGCTGTTGAGAGAACAGTCTTTTACAGAGAAAGAGCAGCTGGAATGTATTCGGCTTTGCCCTACGCATTTGGACAGGTAAAACAGTTGAAACTGGCAATGCATGGCATAGAATTATTGAAACAACACATGCTTCTCTCCCTGAAACTCAGGAAATCGTAGGAAGCTCATTGTAATGTTCAATGGCTCACCAAGTCACTGTCTTTGCAGATGATTATTGAGCTTCCCTACATCTTCATTCAGACTGTTATTTATGGATTCATAGTGTATTCCATGATGGGATTTGATTGGATAGCTGCCAAGTTCTTTTGGTATCTGTTTTTCTTGTACTTCACCTTGTTATACTACACATTGTATGGCATGATGACCATGGCTCTCACACCCAACCACAACATTGCTGCCATAACCTCATCTACCTTCTATGCAATATGGAACCTTTTCTCTGGATTTGTTGTTCCTCCGACAGTAAGTAAATATATATACATACGTACGTACATTAGATACATAAATTCATGTGCATACCTTCTATGCAATATGGAACTAAATTTTGGTTATGACAGAGAATTCCAATATGGTGGAAATGGTACTATTGGGTCTGCCCTGTTGCTTGGACATTGTATGGAATGGTTGCTTCACAATTTGGAGACATAAAGGACACACTGGAGTCAGGGGAATCAGTGGAGCATTTCTTGAGAAGTTACTTTGGGTACAAGCATGACTTTTTGGGCATCGTTGCAGTCGTGATTGTTGGATTTTCATTGCTATTCGGCTTCATCTTTGCCTATGGAATTAGAGCATTTAATTTCCAAAAAAGATGAGAATGTTATACAAATAAAATATATGAACAATATCCATTGTCGAGTAACCTACATCACTCTCATCCGTGTGGTTCAAGTATTTTCCAGATAGATCAGTCGAATATGGTAAAAGCAACAATCTTTTTTAATCTGTCCTGATCCTGCCTGAAGGCCGGAAAGGGCAAAACTAACATGCAAGAAGTCTGGGCGTAGGTAAGCCTAGTAAACCAGCCTTAACAAGGCTTGCAAGCAAAAATATCAGTACAACAGAACCAAAAGTATCAGCCTTAACAAACCAATAAAATAATAAAGGCATGTTCATGAACAAGCAATTCCTTAACAACAGTAAATGTCATCCACTAAAGTAAAATCATTTCAAGGAGTACCTACACAAGTTAAATCGGAGTTGTACAAGAACAAATTAGGTTACCGACATGGCCGCCGCATATGTTACAGTTGGAACTCAAAAATCTCAGTAAAACTACAATGGAAAATTTCAATTAGAAAAACACAATGTAGAAAAGGAGAAAAAAGGGTAAACCATTCGTCATTATCTCAAGTTTTCAAGTCATCCAAGAAGCTTTGCAACTCCCTCAACCCTTCAGCAGAAAAACTCCTCTGCACTCTTGAGCGAGGGGCAATCAGGTTAGGTGGACGCTGTGGTTGGAAGCAGACTACGACAACAGCCAAATTGTCCCCACTCTTCCTCTTCAAAGCCTCATCAACCAAATCCTTGCTACATGTGGCTGGGTCATTGTGCTCCTGAAGCCTGCGCCGAGCAAAATCCACAGCATTTTGACTCATAAACACATCCCAGATCCCGTCACAGCCAATGATAAGGAACTCATCATCCTCAGTAAGTTTTGCAGTCATAAATTCTGGCTCTGCACTGAGTGGCCCACCGTCCCTGCCCTTCATCCCTTCCATATGCCAGTCTCCCAATGCACGAGCAACGTTAAGCTGTCCATTAAGGTAACCATCATACACATATCCTCCAGATGCCTCGATGCGTTGTTTCTCTTTGCCGCAAATCGGTTTGTGATCTCTTGACATTTCAATTGCTTTGCCACGGCGGCACAGCACTGCTCGACAATCTCCAGCATTTGCTACCACCAACAACCTGGCAACAGAAACTAAGATCAACATACAGTACGGCTAATCAAACATACATGTTTGTTGGTGCATCTGAAAGTAATATTTTGGAGCTGATGGGATAAATTAGCAGGACATGCATGAATTAGATAAACAGAGCAGACCCAGATCAAACCAAAATCATTCAACTAACCAAGAACTTCTTGAACCATAGAACCAATTGGATTGAGACAATGTTTGGTCAGCCTGTATACAGCTAAATGCGATGAGTAGATCAAAGATTACCCACACACCCATAAGAAAATATTTTCAACAGAGTATGGCTGGGTATCCCCAATACTTTCCATACATTTTCTTCAGTCTGTAATGAACTCAGAGCTTACTTCAGAAGGCAGTGAACAACAAAAAGAAAGCACTAAGGAATGAGATTCAAATTTCACGCACATCAATTACGCCATAGAAGAATGAACTAAAATATAAATGATGTACTCTGAGCAATCATGATACATGCACCTATAGTTCACAGGTAGCGAAAACCAAAATATCCAACCTTCCAATGAGAAGAGCGGTCAATGCAGTGGTACCAGAGGCAAGGGTGGCATCCAAGGTGCAAGCTTCTTCAAAGGCAGTGTCAGTATGAAGAAAGGCTGAAGTGACAACCCTTTCAATATCCCTTGGGAAGTCTTCATTCTCAATAATGAACTTTGGCAAATGAAAGCAAGCAAAGTCAGCAGCATGCTTTCCTCCATGTCCATCAAACACCTGACCAACCAGTAACATAGGAATGTCGAATTGGGAAATGCTGAAGATAGATTAGCTAGCAAGTTCAATACACGTAGATCATCATTCTAACCATATGTATGCTTCATTATAGATATTACCACAGAAAGCTACATCTAAAGAGATGAGGTATACAGTCAACGAATAAGAAGTAAACAACTTTGGATCTAGAATGTAAATGCACAACGAGTAAGGAAATTTTTAATAACATGTGGAAGAGAATACCCCATAAAAGGCACTTGGGATATCAGTACGATTCTTAAGCCCATAATCGTGCATAAAATTGTCAACACAGACATATACATCTTCCATGCTTGGACGAGACCCTATGTCAGCCCATGCTCCGGACCGGACAACTGGAATGAACTTAGATTCAAATTCCTCTGCTTGAACTCCCGGTTCAACTTTAATGTCAGATGTCTTTGTCTTCATCTGCAAAATTCCATTCAGACCTTTAATAATTGCACACCAAAGCCTTTAATAATTCAACTTCTAATGCTCGCATTTCAAGTTTATGTCATCACGTATTAACACTCCTAATTCTGATTGCCCAAGATTACAGTGCGGCTAGACTTACAAATTTTCTAACTGTTTGCATCAGTACTGTCATAAACAGCTAAGAAACCAATACTACGTATGTATATAGTGCTATTATGACAAAATGGCAAAAACGCATAAGCTGATAATGACACATACAAGAGATGGGTGTCGAACAAGCGATTTCTTGCAAAGCACAGGAACGCCGTCATTGTGGCTAAAGCACTGCCAGTACGCCCCGGCGAGAGGGTTGGGAGGCCGGCCCTCGCTTGAGCTTCCATTTTCAACTTTACTTCCCTCCATAGTTCTCAACCATCACATCCTTTGCCACAAACCCACCACACCATAAATGTCAATTTTGAAAATTTGCTCAGAATGTAACTCAGTGAGTTAATTACTGATTCTGTTGAACTCAAAGAATGGGACTTTAGCAATGTGGATCGATGCTGAATTGAACAAAGGAAACAGAAAATGAAAAATTAGGGTTTGGAGTGGAGAAATGTATTGGGATTAAGGAGCTGATGAATGATTAGTTGACTCAGCTGGGGATTAGCACTTTTAAAACGAAAAGGGATTCGATTTGACTATTTCAAGGCTTTTCAGGGCGAATTGAGAGGAGATTGGATTTGGGAATTTAGGGTTTTGCAGGTGCAGACATTGAAAAAGATGGCATTTATGGTTTCAGGGAAGTGCAAATTGAACAGTAGGGTTTTGCAGAGAGAGAAATGAGAATTAGGGTTTTAGAAAGCGACGAAATCGTAGTGAAAGCGATGCCCTGTGATCTAACAGACTGAGAGAACGAGAGATTTTGGGCGATCTACACGAAGACACTGGTTTTCGCTGAATGCTAAGATTTAACTGGTCGGTTTCTTAGGGGAAAGCCAAACGACGTCGCATTGAGAACCCCAGCTGCGTTTGACTTCCGACTTCATAAAGTCACATGCTTTGTTCATTTTTCGAGGTAATAGATATTTTTACTAAATAAATATCTAAAAATAATCCTTTAAAATGAAGAAAGCTTAAAGTTAACATGATGGTAAAGATTAAAATGATGGCGTCCTTTTTATTATAACTACCTTCATTATTATTTTTAAAATTTTTGGTCTTTGGCTTTTAATTCAACTGTCAAATTTTTCATGTATGATCATTTTTATTGTTTTTTGTAATAATTACGTTGACTTGAAAAATAAACGATTTAGATCGTGTATGCACGTATGTTATTTGGTAGACAAAATTGGAGAAAAGTTTAGGTGAGTCACGTATAATATTATATGAATGATGAAAAATAACAAAATTTAGGTGATAGGTGAAAGTGATGGTAAACGGGTAGGCATGTGTTGATTGGTCTAAAGTCCGAATGAGGTGGAGTCGAAGCAAGTGCCAACTATTGTTTCTGACGTTCAAACTTGACCTAATCACAGATGCAGAGAGAAGAGGCGTGATTATTGTCTGAAAGTGAGACGCATTGGAACCATTCGAAGCTGCCTTTGCATGCTTTTGAGTAGTTTTCGTTGAGTTTTTGGGTGTATCTGCAGAGAGAGATAGCGACAATATTAATACAGATTCTTTCTTTCTTCTATTATAGCATCTTAAAAGGAGATATCAAATTGCCACGTGAACATAAAATAATAAAAAATAGAAATTGAGGTTACTCTAATCGAGTGGTGAAATTCAATATGAATTTTGAATGAGTTTCCTGTGTGTGTCACCATCTTTCTTGGAAATACGCTAACTGATGATTTTCTTAACAGGAAACTCATTCCAACACGCGTCTCTCCAAGAGAAAATGGTACCAGACGGCAAGCAAAAACAGAGAAATGATACGTGTTTGATGGAGGGTCCAACCCCACGTGGCCTTTTCTATTCTAGAGGGTCACCGTTGCGTTGGGGTCCTTTGTCTTGCTCTATGCAACCAAACCAAACCCACCTTCCTCTTTTTCTATATATCATCCCTCCCTCTCTCCTTTTTCTGCTTAAATTAAGAGGGAAAGAAGAGAGAGAGAGAGATGGCTATTACAAACTTCAATTGCTGCCTCAATCCGCCGCCGCCAACTCAAAACCTTGGCTCAAGCCCTTCTTTGCCTTCAAAGCCAAATCAAGTACTTGCATGGTATGTAATTAAACCCAACTTTCTTATATGCCTCACATTTGCACTTTCTTGAGAAGAATTTGCGCGGTCTTATAAAATTAAGACGCGTGTTATGTTGGTGTCTAATTATGGTAAATACTTGTGTGTGCAGGAACACAAATGATGGATCATGGACAAAACGATGTGTGTTAGGCATGACAGCCGGCATCATGATTGGGTTGGAAATGGGCAGCTTGGATGCCATTGCCAAAGGCATGCCCTTGCCATTGGTGACAGAATCAAGTGATCAGAGGGTTACAAAATGGAGTGAGAAAAGAATGTGCCCGCCGTGGATCCCCAATTCTCTGGAGACCATTGTGCCTGAGAACCTTCCGAGGCCCTCGGCTCAGAGGAGATCGGAAGTCGTTGGGTTTTCGAAGGATGCTCCGGCAGTTAAAACGGTTGTTGTTAGAAGAAGTGGTAGTTGCTTTGCCATGTAAATTACCCTGTGCTGCAGTTCCATATGTATATGCACCATAATGTATAGCCAAATACAGAATCAATGAATTACTAGGCATTTCCTTCATTTTTGGAATTTTCTTCTTGGATTTTTTTGGTCGCATTTCTCTTTCATGGTTTCAATTGGGTGCAGTATAGGCTAGCATTTGATTTGCATAACTATTATTGTGTAGTAGAAGTAGTACATGTAGTACATGTAGTACCAATTGGAAGTTTTCAGCAGGAAAAACAAAAGCAAAAGCACAAAAAAAATCCATTGGCCTCACGCATATTCGCATGTTAAGGTGTTTTCTTTGGTGTCGTTTTTGTCTGTCTTGGGTTTTTTTTCCCTTTTTTTTGAGAAAAAATATGAAAACATTGGAGGCCCAAAAAGTATCCACACAATACAAGCCAGCAGGCCCAAGATTATAACTAGCATATATGCAACCAATCTATGTGATCATGTAGTCAAATTAAGTCTTGGCTCTCCGTTCCTTCTGCTAATGATTCTGTATGCCATCAGAGACGGACAACAGAGAGAGTAGGAAAAATGTTATAGCCCAGACTAAACTAGAAAATGAAAAAGGGTTTGTAAAGTAGATTTACTTAGGGGTGGGCTTTTTATTCGAATTATAATATTCTATTATTTAAATATAAAACAAGAAACTAAAGATAAATACAATCAACATTTTGGATCACTCATTTATCACTGCTGTATCACTTCTTTATCACCCGGGTACTGTAGCACTTTTTGGTCAAAGAGGAATGTATGAATTTCCTATTTTATTCCAGTTTCAACCTTGGTCCCATTTTTTACTTGTAACTTTCCAACCGTGATCCAAATTTCATGTTCTTTATATGATTGTATTCAGCATGAAAAACTAAAAAACTCATTGAGGAACAAATGTCAAAATCATTTACATAAATGTAGAGAATTCAGTAAAAATAACACTCAAATGTTCAAACAACAAACACAAGTGGCTCCAAGAACGAAATGTTGTCGGGAGAGGTCTAATCTGGCAAAATTGCACCGAGATAGACCTGTGCCAACGAAAGTTCGTCGGGAGAGGTTTTTTTAAATAATAAGTATAAACTTAGTATCTTTAGGTCAGTACATTTTTATTTTAAATTTTCTTTTTAGTAATTCAATAAAATCTTAGCCTTATTTAATTACTTTCATTAGTAATTATGTTTTAATCATTATTTATTTTTGTGAATAATTAGAATTAAATATTTTAATTAACTTCATAAATATATTACTTAATAAATAGTAAATTGTTTTTTAATTTTTTCTTTATTAGAATACTTAAATACTAATTATTCACTAAGTAAATAATATTTAAAACATAACTACTAAATACAGTAATTAAAAAAGAGAAATTCAGATTATGATACTTCAAGGGTATCGTCGTGCGGCTATACGTTTAAAATATTATGTTAATGGAGCCTTACCAAAACAAATTTATGTATGGAGTGCTAAATTGAATCAATAATTTTGTGATCAAGAAAATACTTTAGTAATTCGCTGACTCACTTGAGAAGTTATTTTATTGCTTGTGTACATGTCCACATGACATGTTGATGTGATTTATCAAAATTTTCTCAAATGATTATAATTCGTGCACAATAGTTATAAAATTCAAATTTTACACAAAAAGAAGGAACAATAAGAGAAAAAATCGTAGCCAAAGGTGGTTCATACGGTAGATCCAAAGATTCCTATGAAGATGAATCCATTCTCTTAGAAAGTTTAAAATGGTGGTTCATATTTTTTGGATAATAGTATAGCCGCGCGGCTATACTTTTTTTTTCTAATTTTTTTTAAAAAAACCAGTATTGCCAGGCGGCTTTACTCGGTATTTTCTTAATTTTTTAAAAATAGTATAGCCGTCCGGCTATACTCGGTTTAAAATTATACTGGCGAATCGGATTCGAACTCATCACTACGAACGTCTAGGGCACAGAGCAAGCCCGTTCCAGGTTTTGAGCAGTGTTCGAGATATCGGCCTAGGCGCTAGGCAGGAGGACACCGACACCAGGGAGTTAAGGGGGGCCTAGGAGGCCTGGGAGGATCTAGGCGGCCTGGGCGGATCTAGGCGGCGCCTAGGGGCCTGGGAGGGTCTGGGCGCCAGGGCGGGTCTGGGCGCCGGGGCAGGTCGTGTCCTTTTTTTTTTCCAAATGAAGACAGACGAAGCTTGCTGGTGCGAAGGAGCAAAGGTGACATGTATATAGTGTGTGAGAAGGAGGAAAGGTGACATAAAATAAGGAAAGGCATAAGAAATGAGGGGTTTGTTTCGTGTGGAGTGAAAGGAAGAGATAGAAAACTGTGTTTCTGTTGTTGAGAGAGTGAGAATTGGGAGGCAAATGAAGAGGGAATGAGAGATTTATAATTCCTGGTGGTCTTGGTTGGGGTAAAGAAAAGTAAAGGATAAATTAGTCGTCAACACGCATGCAGGGAGAGGTCGGTTAGTGGAGGGAGGCGCATTGGCATTGCTCACCAATGCCCTTCTACTTTATTGATTTCCTTCTAGTACTAGAAGCCTAATGTTACTGTGTAAGAAAGAAAGGTCTCTTGGAGCTTTATAACTGGCTTCAAGGGCATCTTCCAGCTAATATGACAGTGGACCAGGAAATGTATTTTGTAGAATGTGTTGACTTTGCCAAATCCTTCATCCAACTGTATAGCAAAGAGGTATGTCTTCTTTATCTTTGAAACTAGGAGTTTTTTTGTCTATGTTTATATGCAACGTGATATAAGCAAAATAGGCAATCTATTCACCCAGACCCAAAAGAAGAAAAATTGTATCCATATTTTGTTTTGTCTATCTGAATGCATCATCTTATTCAACAATTTCACGTACTAAAATTGCAGTTCTGTATTCTTCATTTGTCCTATTTTTCTTGCAGTTTTTTAGACTCATGTCCTCATTTCTTGGCTTGTTTTTGAACTGTAGGATGATGTATTATTCAAAGTGCTCTTGCATTTGCTTTGTGTACTTTGTTGTGCAGAACAGTAAGGAATTAATATCCTAGTTTTCCATTGTTTTAAAAGTTATCGTCATGGATTCCTTTTAACAAGATTTTTGGGTTTATATAGGGATGAAAGGGAAAAGGTTGCATTGGAGGATTCGAATGGCAATTTACTTTTCCGTGTCTCAGATCTTTTCAATCCTGTACTCTTGCTCCATCTTTTCCTATTAGAGGCAAGATGCTCACTCTTGGACATTTACATATCTGCATTTCCACTTCGGCATGCCTCCTAGTTGTTAATTTGAAGTATATGGTATTGCAGAATAAAAAAGAATCACTGACATTGTGCACTTTCTTTTTTCTTCCTATTTTGCAGTTGAGCTATGACCATCAGGTGCTGCTTGATTACCTTATTTCAAAAGATACCGGAATCAGTTGTGCAAAATATCTTTTAAGGTCTTTTCTCTTTCTACAACTTCTCTTAACTTATGAAATCTAAACCGTGGTGGGCTGCATTTTTCTGGTGTCGACCTCGGTGACTAAACTATAAAACATTAACCCTCTGCTTTTACATGACATCTTAACTAATTAGCAAAACAAGAATCAATTTGGTTGACCCCAGACAGTTGTTTTTAATTGCAACTCTTTGTATCTTTCATTTGCTTCTTACCGTCCTTAATGCATTCTCTTTTAGGTGCTTGCGTAAAGTGTGTGATTCATGGAGCTTATTTGTGGAATTTCTAGTGGGTGGGCAAGCTACAAATCAATCATTCATTTTGCAAGAAAAGAAAAGTTTCATTGGGTGGCTCGAGTTCCTGGGGAGAGGATTCTCTTGCACCAACAAAAAATCTTCTTACATTTCTTGATGATGAACCTGATGAAGAAAATGAAAATGGCTGCAAGCACACCCAAAATGGAGGACAGTATTTCAAAGAAGTCAAAGAGTGCTTACTTTCACTTGAAATTTCTATTGAAGGTCTACACCAAAAGAATCTGTTTCCCTACAATCCTAATGCTCTTCTGAACCGGTACGTCTCTTTGAAATGAGTTTCATTATACTTCCCAGTAAACTAGTGATTGCTCTTACTATAGGGTTTGATTTTATTTTGAATTTACTACAGTCAACTTCTTTCTTTCACTTTTAGTTTCATTCGTTCCTCATGATCACGACTTATCCAAACTAAACTGGTTGCTCTTTGCTTGCAGCTTAACAAGATTTCAGGAACTCTGTTTTGAGGAAGAGAAATAAACTTCTAAAAGAATGAACTTATCAGCACAGATTTTTGCAGAGCATCATTTATTCCTTTGAGTTGAAGTGATAAAATGAAATCTTGCCAACCAATGAGGCCAAGTCTCGACGAAAACTCTTTGAGTTTCTTTGAGTCAGGCAACTGGGCCACAGTCAGACAATGCTGGAAAGAGTGCTTTGAGATCCTCATGACTCTTTGAGGCCATATATGGAGATTTTTAAGAAGTGAATGCACTTTGTGGATGAACGTTGTTACATTGAGCAGTGAAGGAATAGAAGAACAAGCTTTGTAGTTAAGGAAATTTAGATTCTATGTATAGAATTTCCAATTTTTTTCCTCAACAAGGATAGGCGAAGAAATCTAATTCGTAGCATAGTTAAATCCACCAGATGAAGTCAAAGTGATTAATGGTTCTGATCACATGTTCATGTTTGGTGTCTAGACCAGTAAATCTGTTCTCCCACCTCCAGGATAATGCTAAAAAATACTCTTAAACATAAGCACCTGCTAATGCACTATACATATTCGATATGAATAAACTATTGTCAAAGAAAGTCACCTGATATTGGTGTAAATTAATTTTATCCAAACTATACCAGCTGCCAGAGATAGATAGAAAAGGACTTTACCTGATCTCAAGTCTTCCTAATCTCAATTGTCAAAAAAAACTATTCCTGATATTGATGTATCCCAAACATTCTTCTCATTTCAAAATATAAACTTCTGGTTTCTTTTTCCTTGTTACTTGGCATGATGGCGAGAACAACGTTACCGGGCGGCTTTACTCGGTATTTTCTTAATTTTTTTCAAAATAGTATAGCCGTTCGGCTATACTCGATTTTTAAAAATATTCTAGCGAATCGGACTCGAACTCATCACTACGAACGTCTAGGGCACAGAGCAAGCCCGTTCCAGGTTTTGAGCAGTGTTTGAGATATCGGCCTAGGCGCTAGGCGGGAGGACACCGACACCAGGGAGTTAGGGGAGGCCTAGGCGGCCTGGGAGGATCTAGGCGGCCTGGGCGGATCTAGGCGGCGCCTAGACGGCCTGGGCGGGTCATGTCCCTTTTTTTCCCAAATGAAGACAGACGAAGCTTACTGGTGCGAAGGAGCAAAGGTGACATGTATATAGTGTGTGAGAAGGAGGAAAGGTGACATAAAATAAGGAAAGGCATAAGAAATGAGGGGTTTGTTTCGTGTGGAGTGAAAGGAAGAGATAGAAAACTGTGTTTCTGTTGTTGAGACAGTGAGAATTGGGAGACAAATGAAGAGGGAATGAGAGATTTAGAATTCCTGGTGGTCTTGGTTGGGGTAAAGAAAAGTAAAGGATAAATTTGTCGTCAACACGCATGCAGGGAGAGGTCGGTTAGTGGAGGGAGGTGCATTGGCATTGCTCACCAATGTCTTTCTGCTTTATTGATTTCTTTCTAGTACTAGAAGCCTAATGTTACTGTCTAATAAAGTCACACAGAAAATCCTTACATCTTCTGCTCTGCAACTACTTTTTTATTTATTTAAATATTTTGACTGTACAAGTGGCATAGCACTGTAGGGGAAGACACCTTCAACAATAATTAGTGTGGTATTCTGTAGCAAGTGGCCTAGCACTGTGAAATTCTAAAATGTTATATTATTTCATCTTTTGTGTGGTATTCTGTAGCAATCCTCTTCAGGAATGTTTTCAGAATTTAGAGAGAATACAAGCTAATTTTACAGGGAGGAGAAGCCATAGAAAAGCAGAACGCAGTGATGACTTTGATTGCACACTATGCTTAATATGAACCTGTCACAACTCCTTGTGGGCATTTCATGCCTATTTCAGTCAATGGATCGAGGTGAGTGTTTTGCTGTTACTGATCCTATTTAATTGAGTTAGTCTATATCTTCTAATCCCTTTTAGTCCTTGACTTGTGTTAAATTTTCCTAGGTAACAAATGTCCTTTGTGCCCAACAGTTCTTTTCATTAGTCCTAGAACATGTGCTTATAATAATTGAATGAGATGCTTGTATTATTTGACATCAGAATTATTGCTTTATGGTTTTCTATACCTATGCTGTTTGTAATGGGCATGGCTGCGCATCCCCCAGGAGTTCCACCTATTATAGATTGAGTATGGTATTCTCACTTTTACAGAGTATAACAATTAGTGGATTTGTGGTTCTAGATTTTGGAAATAAAAAAAATCCAAGTAATATGAAAATACTAATCCATAAATATGAATTTAGGAACTCATTTTGATGGGGCCATTCAAACTTTTATTTCCATCATGCATTCAATGCTAGGCATATATTTTAGGTTTGTCAGCATGATATATGCTTGCTAATTTTTTGTGCTTAATTAGTGTTATAGCTTTCAGAGTTTACCAAGATTGTTTGCTTCAGTTCTGTGGTCTACGTACCTTCAATATCTTCTTTATGTTTTTGCCAGTGTGACACTTAACGACATTATACAAAAGAACTTCCGAGAGGAATTTGCCGAAAGGAAGTTGGAGAATGATACAATGACAAACTTTGGTGTTGATTTGATGCCACTCTTTGTCATGGATGTTGTCCTCCCATTTCAGAAGTTCCTGCTACTCATTTTTAACCTCGGTATAGACTTATGGTAAGTTGGTTAGCAGTTTGTATTTTTCACATATGACATTCATAAAATATTTAAACGTAGAAGTGCATTTGCTGCAAAATAACTATGTTGACAAACTTATCTCGCAAGTTTTGTATGCCTACTTGGTACTTTTCTACAGTCCATGTGATCCATGTGTTGTGTTGTTTTTATTGAATATTCATAGATTTTTGCTTGTACCATCACTCAAACAACGGTTAAGGAGGATAAGGCAATCGTCGGATGGGAATGGTAGATTAGTGTCACTGGTCCTTTTCTTTCCCTTTTAACTTTCTTAAGGTATATAAAGTTTGACCCAATGTATAAGTTTCACTGATTGTGGCTTGTTTTTTTAATTTTGTAGGTTATCATTGATTCTTCAACAGGCTCAATAGCTGATTTTGATTGTGAAGTGGAAATTACCAAGTAGGTCTTTCATCCTCCTCCTTTCCTTCTTAATTTTCTAGTATGCAGAATGTCATTTGTAAACTCCACTACCATGCTTTCCTCCTTTTAAAGAAAAAAAATTATTATTTATGTAGGTGTGAACCACTTCCAGATGGACATTTCTATTTAAAGGTTAGATACAAGTGCCCTTTACTTCAATCTGTACTTTTGCACTCTGTTTACATTGTTTTAATGCATTATGAATGCTAAAACTGATCTACTTTTCATTTAATGAACAATTATCCTTTATTTTGGTCTTTATTTATACACTTGAGGTTGCAAATTAGCTAATAGGCTTATCTATGATAAATATTTCCATGTCAGAACGCATTTTGTTTGAAGTTAGGATGTTTTTTTTTAATGATCCATTCACATACTTATAATAATACTATTTCATGCAGATTGAAAGTGCCGACGGTTTCGTATAATTCGATCTTGGGACCAAGATGGGTGAGTTGTCTTATGAGATGTCTAGCCGTTCATTTGATCTTTACTTACTGCTCTTGTTCAATATTTTGTCTTTGATGTGCTCTTCGGGTACCGTACGGGTACATGACATATATCAACCAGAAGGGTCTAGAGAGAGAGCAGACATAGTTCATGACAATTTGGTTTGCTGTAATCTCTCTATTGGAGTGTGCTCTTTTCTTTCATTTTTTTTTAAAATTTTTTGTTGTAGAGAATAGTAAGAAGCTTGAGTTAAACTTGATCTGGTGCTTAACAATGCTTTTTGTTCTAAACAAATCAAGAGCGTTTACCCCGCGTTTCCCTAATGTAAAACCTTCTTCTTGTTCTAAACTAGTAATGAGAAACCAAACTGAGCTTCAGATTCTCTTTTACAGGTGAAAAACGAAGCATGGTGGTTGGTCCTTGCGAACACCTCAAGATGGGAATTATATGCTCTCATAAGAGTATCTTTCTCTAATCACTTGGTTACTCACATGGAGTTACCATCAGTTCCTAAGACCCTCCTGGTACTATGTGCCCTTTTCTTGCTTTGCTTGCTAACATTTGTTTTACAGTGCTTTCCAGGGGATGAAATTGACTTTAATTTCAGAGTATCAATACATTGGACCTTAAGGTGTATGTCAGTAAATATTTGAATATATTTACAAAGTATAACCGCGCGGCTATACTTTTAAATATATATTTCCTTCTTTATGTATTTGAGTGAAATTGAGTAGTAGTTGTCTATGTTGCACGGACACTCCAAACTGCTGGAGTGTCGGAGTATCGGACACGCTGATATAGCTCTGACGCGCCCCGACAAGCATTGGACACGGTCAACGGTTGGGACATGGTCAAGACACGGCTCCGACACGGTCAAGACACAGCTCCGACACGGTCAAGACACAGCAGGGACCAGTTTGAAATTTTCAAAATAAAATCTGGGATCTAAACGTGATTTTTGAAACTTTGGTGGACTGATTTGAAATATTTTTAAAAATAGGGCTAAAAGTGGAAAAAGACTTTTTTAAACCTAAATATCACTTTTTCTGCTGCCAAAGTTCATTTGCTCCGTCACAGCTCTTCTCCTCCCCTTCTCTTGGTTTTGCACAAGGTCTCTTTGCAATTTTTTTTTCTCTATTTTCAAATGCATTTATTTATGTTCTCTATTTTCTTTTCTTATCTCTTCCACAGCAGTAGAAGAGAGTTGGACTTGGTGGTGAGGTGACAACTCTTTCTTCTGTTTCTTTTTTTAAGAGAAACACAACAAATAATAACAACAACAATGAAGACATAGATGCTTGAAGAAGATTGAGAGTTAGATCATTTATGTTTTATTTTGTGGTCTATTAATTATTATGTATAGATAATGAACATGAGTTATTTGTTTTGTTTTATTGAATTATGTGACATTGAAGTAATGAGAATAAATTATTATTTTAATTGCCGTGTCCTAGCCGTACCCGTGTCCTAATTTTTTGAGTTTTTCCGTGTCGCCGTGTCCCCGTACCTGTGTCTGTGCAACAGAGGTAGTTGTGAGTTGAGTGTCTTTCCTTTTCCCATATATATTTCTCATACTCTAACCCTAGAAGAAAAGGGTTAAAAAGAGTAAATACCAAGAAGACTTTTTTTTAGGACATGGACATTTAGATTCAAAACGCATTCACAATTTTATACCTAGAAATTCAACATTCTTTGATCCACAAAATGTTGGTGGATCCCTTTTGTTGTTGTATTTATGGGTTAAACTCCTATTATTTCTTATAAATAAAATCCATTTTTTATTCTTGCCCAAAATAATTGAAGAAATAACTCGAGCTGAATGGACTAAAGTGGTATATTAGCCCCAAACCCTAAAATAATCTGAAGAAAAAAAAAACTGTATATTTAAAGTTGAAAAATAAATATAAAAAAGGCAAATCCGTGCGGCTATACTCTTTTTAAAAAAAAATCACAAAAAGGGTATAGCCGAACGGCTATACTCGTTAAAAATTAAAGATAAGAGTATAGCCACGCTTCTATACTATTTAAAATTAAAAAAATAATAAAAATGGCATAGCCGCAGGGATATACTCGTTAAAACTAAATTAAAAAAGAATAATAAAAATGGTATAGCCGCAGGGATATACTCGTTAAAACTAAATTAAAAAAGGGTATAGCCTGTCGGCTATACTCTTTAAAAAATAATTAAAAATAGTATAGCCGGTCGGCTATACTCGTTAAAAATAAAAAATAATAAAAAAAGAAAATAGTATAGCCGGCAGCTATACTCGTCAAAAATTAAATATAAAAAAGGGTATAGCCGTTGGCTATACTCTTTAAAAAAATATTAATTAAAAATAATGGCTATACTCGTTAAAAATTAAATATAAATAGGGTATAGCCTTCGGGGTAGGCAAGTATCAGTGGGAGCTGCCTTCGGGGTAGGCAAGTCCACAGTTTCTCAGGTGACTTGGAGATTCATTGAAGCATTAGAAGAACGTGACAAGCACCATCTCAAGTTGCCTGATTCCAACAGAATGGAAGAAATAAAGTCCAAACTTGAAGAAGCCTCTGGATTGCCCAATTGTTGTGGAGCCATAGATGGTACACACATCATTATGACCCTTCCTACCGTTCAAACATCAGACGATTGTTGTGACCTGGAGGACAACTACAACATGCTCTTTCTGCAGGGAATTGTTGACCATGAGATGAGGTTTGTTGACATTGTAACTGGTTGGCCTGGGGGAATGACGGTGTTTAGATTTTAATGTGTTCAGGATTTTTCAAGCTCTGTGAAGGTGAACAGCGTTTGAATGAAAATTTTAGAACTTTATTTGGAGGAGTAGAGATTAGAGAATACTTAGTTGGTGGGTTGGCTATCCTCTGCTTCCCTGGCTCATAACTCCTTATGAAAGCAATGGGCCTCCCAGCTTCCATTTCTGCTTTCAATGCCGTGCATGGGGCTGCAAGGTCTCTTGCGGTAATGGCATTCTCGCAGTTAAAGGGCACTTGGAGAATCCTTAACAAGGTCATGTGGAGATCCGATAAGCGGAAACTTCCGAGCATCATCTTGGTATGTTGTTTACTTCACGATATAAGAATTGACAGGAGATATATTACAACTTAGTGATGGCCTCTTCAGCTTCTTCCAGCTGCCCCTTCACGTTTTCAAATTCAATACCTTTGCCCTTTTTGCTCTTTTCAGTAATCTCCACCTTCCTCTTCAGGTCTTCCACGGTTATTTGAAGGTTTGTCAACTTTTGTACATCAGAATCAAGTCTTCTAGAATCCTTCTCTTGTTGCCTTCTTGACGGGGCTTTGTAAATCTCTTAGAGATCCCTAATTTGTCCACGCCCAATTCCTTCTCAACCAATGATTCTGAAGAGGAATATTTATTCTTGTGCTCCTTTATTGCTTCAGTCTGACTGTGGTCAGTTGCTACAGCGTCCACCTTCTGGCCCTTGCCAACCATCAAATCAATGCCAGCATCCTGGTCGGTGGTTTCCCACAACTCAAGCATCTGACCGTCAGCCTCTATGGTGTCTCTTCTGCTTATCCCCAATGTAGATAGAAACCAGCTTACTTTCCATATGGCATTTGCAAGCACATGCTTCTCAAGTGCTGTTGTACACTCCTTCAAAGAGATGACAGATGGAATATAGGCAGCCAGCTGATCTTGTAGCCATGATAAACGAAAATCAGGGGGAGGGAAAAAAAACAACAGATGCCAGTATAGCCGTGCGGCGATACCTTTTAAGAGACACCTTTTAAGCGATACCTTTTGAATATATTATATTTAAAGAGTACTACCGCTCGGCTATACCATTTGAATATAATATTTAAATATTATAGCCGTGCGGCTATACCATTTATTTAAAAAAACAAAAGGCCAAAAATGGCGAGCTTTACATTTCCCTCCCTGCTTGGGTCGCTTCACTGAATCACTTCCCATCAAAGTCTTCAAGTTCAAGGCCGAAAAAGAGGTGGGCAATTTCTCATTTGAGCTCTCATGGTGCCTCCCAAGAAATCAAAGAAAAGCAAGAAAGATAGGAAATTGAAGAAAAACTTAAGCTTGGTTCAAGTCGAGCCTAAAGCCGCAGACTCTGACTGGTGGGATAGTTTCTTCAACCCAAGGTTTTTCTTTTCACTAAGCTCAGTCTCCAATTACTCTGCTTCCTGCTTTTTAGTGGAATGCATTCAGATTACTTGTAGTTTTAACTAAATTATCTTTATATTTTGCTTATTTTGGAAAATCTATGATGCACAGAAATCTAGAACATGTGGTGGATTTTGTTATGTAATGTTAAATTCGGTAATGATGTTCATAATTAGAGCTCAAAACCTATAAACTGTGCTTTTGTTCAGTTAGGTTGTTGGAAAAATCGGCCTAGGCGCTAGGCGGCCGCCTAGGCGGGTCTAGGCGGGTCTTTTTTTTTTCCCTGACTTTAGCTAAATTATGAACTCGCTTCAATTTCTGATGGCCGCTATACAAAAATTTGCTTTTGATTATGTGTTTTGCATCCTGAAAAGAGAAAGATGTGGTCGAAAAGTTATTACTAGAGGGAGCAATAGAGATTTTAGCCTGTAAAAGTAGTATGTAATTGTTAGGAATCTGGTTTGGCCTAAGTTGGATGAATAGTTGGAAATCCTGACTGAATCAGACTTGGGGAATATACGGACATAGAAACACATAGTCGGGCTTTGCTTGTTGTCATAGACTATGAAACTTTCCGAATTCCATGGTTTACAGAAATGTTGAGCAGTACCCCAATGCAAAGCAATGTTCCTGGAATTCTCAAATTCTCATGCTTGAGATTGATGCTCCCATTTACTTTGCAAATACTAACTACTTAAGAGAAAGGTCCTAATTAATTAAACCAGAGTAAGAACTAAAGATTTGGGGCTTAAGAAAGATAATAGCAAGTACAGGGACTAAGGTTTTGTTGAGTTGTTCTTGAGGTGGTTGTACTATCTTTTTGTTTTCTGGTCATGTTTATGTTCTAGTGAGGCAGAACTAAAGATTTGGGGCTTAAGATAGATAAGTGGCTTATCTATGGGACTGGGAAAGAGACATCCCACTTTGTTTGAGAAGGTTTGAATCAGGCATTTGATTTTTATGATGATTGCACAAATTTTCATCCACAAATTGATTGAATAACTAGTGTAGTGCTTCAATTTACCAGTCGCTTCTAACCAAGGTGCTTTCTGATAGTGCCACCATACTCATTAAACATAGAGACCTCTGTGTGTCATCTGTTTGATTCTAATAATTTCCAAGTGTTAAGGTGGTTAACTGTTCTAGCGTTTGAGCCATAAATTACTGAAACAGTCTCATGATGAAAGAATTTATTGCGTTCTCATGATTATTTGTGATTATAGAAACTGCTTTCTAGAAATCCTTTAATCTTCTCTGATGTATGTTGTTTCATTCGTAGGCACACAGGTTGGAGAGGACTTGATGAAGGCATCATTGTAGTTGGGACTTGCATGATTTAAAAGCCACAATGGCTGGTTGCATGTCAACCCCATCCAAAACAATTAAACCATGGAAAAAACACTGTCAGCGGGTCATCAAACGCCATAAATAGGCAACCTGCTTCGCTTCAGATGGTACCAAGAAAAGAAATACCAGTTTCAAGAAAATAAATAGTGACGCAGGAGCTCGCTTGAGTGACTATGCTGTCAATGAGTTTGTTCATGTGGACTTTAAGAATGGTGCAACAACTACTCACAGAAGATCTAAGGTTTCTAATTCAACATTCCATCTCACCCAGCTGCAATGGCACCATAGTCAATATGATTCGAATGGTGTGTGCTTTCTTTCATCAGATTTCAACTATCTTTCAATTTCAACCAATAGTGCTGACAAGAAAATTCATAGCTCTTGAATCTCATATTTTGAAAGTTATTCATTTGCAGTAATTTTCCAAGAGGAAGCTTGGTTTGACTCAGTGAGTATTCTGGAGTCTGACTCGGATGATGACTTTATCAGTATACATGGAGGTATTGGCCATCAGCCTGTAACTACATATTACCGAATGAAAGCCTTGTGGTCTTTTTTGATTGCAAAATGTCATTACTACTGAAGTAATTTTTCTTGAGCTACTTATTGGAAAAGGATTTTGTTTTGTTTTCTTAATTTTCTTCACTTATTCTACAGATGGTTTTCCATTAGCAAGCAATCCAGTTGGGAATATCTCAAGTGGCCAAGTACTTCAGCATGAAAGATCTGCTCGCTTTGTTGATAATGAGTGTAAGTATGAAGAATACCAAAGCTATATGATAATTGATGGAGGTAAATCAGATAAAATCACAGGCAAAGATGAGCGCAGGGAATCAAATCAGTTTTCGCTTATTAATACCCAGGGCTATGAGCTTTCTCACTTAGGGAAGGCTGATGAAGTTTGCGGTAAGAGGAAGAATATATTAGATCACTCTCATGGAAGCTTTAAAGGACTTATAGAGGATGGACGTGATTCTAATGAAAATATTCAAGACAATGCCCTGAAATCTGGCTTATCTCGATTGGTACCTTATGTAAGTTTCAACGATAAGATTCTAAGTGCACTGAGTTTGGTTCCGCAGTCCCAGAGAAAGCCATTAGCCGTTTTCAGACTTTCTTTTAAAGGAGATCCTGTGATGCACAAGAAACCATTGAACAATGTATGCATTCAAATAATTCAATTTTCTTTGAATAGAAAGAAAACTTAGAATATTGGGATTGATGTACATGTATATTACCGAACATTTCAATGATATATCCACAGGTCAATCAAAAAGGTTTATGTATCTGCCTAGACCAGGATATATCATTCCATGTTGTAGAGTAGAGAAGCCGACTTCAGGATCTTGGTCTGAGATTCCACCCTCAACTTTTAAATTTCATGGCGAGAACTATTTCAAGTATGACTTTGGTTTTTTCTTTTGTCAAAACCAACCTTAACTGAATTTAGACATTTGCAACTAATTCCTCTGTTCTGCCTTGCTAATGATAATATTATTTTATGTTGGTCTACCATCCAGAGATAACGAAAGTCAACTGCTCCGAGCTACAGTCCATATACTCCAATAGGTGTTGATGTGTCTGTATGCCCCAAAAAGATACATCACATTACTCAGCATCCTGAGCTTCCCAAACTGAAAGCAAATGGGAAAGTGTTCATTGTAAACATACAGGTATTTTTTCAGAATTGATTTATCTTGTTATGTTTAGTTTGTTATATTTTGGCAATATCTAATGATATTGCTCTGCGCCTTGTTGCAGTTGCCTAATTATCCTGCTGCAATGTTTCTTGGTGATAGTGATGGAGAGGGGATGAGTCTTGTAATGTATTTCAACGTTTCTCAGAATTTTGATAAAGACATCTCTCCTCAATTCCAGGACAGCATCAAGGTAACTTCATTTTGTATGCAACTTCATCCATTTGGATAGGCATGTACTTTATTATGATGTACTCACCCTGATGGAAATGATCTTATGTTCTATTGGAACACTCAGTTTGTTGGTATATTTGAATGATGCTTTTAGAAAATGTTTGATGATGAGACGGAAAACGTTAAAGGATTCGCAAAGGACTCCACTGTACCTTTCAGAGAAAGACTAAAGATCTTGACTTGGGTGGTAAATCCTGAAGATCTCAGTCGGAGTTCTGCTGAGAAAAAATTTGTACATGCATATAATGACAAACCAGTTCTTTCACGCCCCCGGCACAATTTTTACAAGGTAAACATTGAACATTTATGTTGCTGAGTGTTAAGAAGATGAAACACAAAAACTATGTTGTTTGACTTTATCAAGCTCTCTCACATGCAAGGTCCTAACTACTTTGAGATTGACATGGACATTCATCTCTTCAGCTACATTCAAGGAAGGGTCTCAAATTGTTGTGAGAACGTCTTTAAAAACGGAATAGCCGAGCGGCTATACTAGTAAAATATTCTATTTATGGCGTGTAGTCACTCTAAAATATTCTTTTTATGGAGTATAGTCTCGCGACCATACTTTTAAAATATTCTTTTTATAGAGTATAGCCGTGAGGCAATATTCTCTTTTAAAATAGAGAATTTATGGAGTATAGCCGCACGGCTATACGCTCTTTTAAAATATTCTGTTTATGGCTTAACCAAGCGGCTATACGTTCTTATAGAGTATAGCCAGGCGGCGATACCTTTAAAATATTCTGTTTATAGAGTATAGCCAAGCGGCCATACCTTTAAAATATTCTGAGTATAGCCAAGCGGCTATACGGTTAAATATATTCTATTTTACCAGTATAGCCGCGCGGCTATACACTTTAAATATAACTATAAAAATATTCTGTTTGCGTGTTGCATGTGTATGAGAAGTGATATAATGACGTTGCTTATCTTTTTAGGTGCCCTTTGTCATATTTCCTAAATATATTCAAATATTTAAACAGTATAGCAGAGCGCCTATATTCGAATAATAATATAATTACTAGTTGAAGTAATTAAAAATGCAAAGATATTACTTAATGACATATATATGAAATTAACAAGATTCTACCTTGAACACACTTGAGCAGCTGCCATTGTTAATACTCCAGTAGCATATCTGACCATCCAAGTCGCAGGAGCAGATAAGGTCATCTTTATTTGGGTGGAAATCTAATGACATAACATAGTCAGAATGTCCCATAAAGGTACGGAGAGATTAGCCAGGCTGCAGATTAAAGACATAACGATGCTTTAATACAGCACATCCGTTACATGTCACAGTTAAAAGATACAAAAAGATAAAATCATCACTTTTGTCAGCATCCCAGACCCTGACAGTTTTGTCGAATGAAGACATTGCAAGACGTGGCATGCTTGGACTAAAACGAACATCAGTGATCAAAGCTGAATGTTCTTCAAAGGTTGATTTTACCTTTAATGTATCTGTGTACCACAATACAGCCTGCATCATACATATATCAAGAAGACTTTCGATAAGTAAACGCAAGACCCAAAAAAACAACCTTATTGCTTTTAATAAGTAAATTAAACAAGCAATTTCACATTTATGTTCTGGAAGAATCAAATATGCAGCAGCATTGAATCCTCCCCACAGCAGTTCTTAGCAATTAGACATTCATTCGCTCACCTTTTTATCATGGCCACCACTAGCAAGAAACTTTCCATCCGATGAGAAGTGACAGCTAGTAACCTTGCTTGTGCTTGCTTTAACAGAGTGTACTTCCGTAAATGTGAACCCTTAAGTTAAATTCAAATTATGAGCCCTCAAAGTAAATGATAGTAGCTTCACCACAACCACATTTAAAAACATACACAGATATATAGATATATATATATATATATATATTAATGCTGGGATTATGCACTGACATTGTTTCTAAGTTTGTGGATGGCACAATTACCAAAAACACATGGTAGTTAATACAAGTGAGATAAAATTAATGAAAAAAAAAAGATATTTGATTCAGACTTGTGATTCAATACCTATTACTTGCAGTGCCCTGGTATTTTATTAACGTACCATATCATCATGGGATAAAAAAGACTCGACATTATCATCAAGAGAACCATCCTCTACAAATCGATCCATATCGGCCTGCAATTCAAGATCTTTATCATCCCACTGCCAAAATGGAATTCCAATGAGAATACATGCAAGGAGTTGCCAATTCCTTCTAATACACGAAGTTGAAGAAGTCGCTCACCAACTGATTTGATGGTGATGTAAGAGTCCCAGTACCATCAGGGCCAAACATCATCAGAGGCTTGGAGGAACTACCACTATGGGGCAAGGCAGGCATTGAGATTACTTCTCCAGGAGTGTGCGTTGAGGGAGTTGAAGGGGCTGAACTCGGGGAAGGCCCAGCCATGTTTGCTGTTCCCGTGCTATTGGCAGGACCGTAAGATGACACTGGCTGCTTTCCCTTTCTCCCAGCCTGGTTTTTCGAAACCTTATTTACAAAAAGTAGTATCGCGGACCGGCTATACTCGTTTTTTCTAAATTTTTTTTAAAAGATGTAGTATAGCGGCCCTTCCCCATTTTTATACCAAACAATAGTATAGCCGACCGGCTATACTCTTTTTTAATTTTTTTGAAAGGTAATATTATAGCCGCCCGGCTATACTCGCGTTTATTCGTTTTTTTTAAAAGAAATGGTATAGCCCCGGGTTTTTTCCCAATTTTTTTAAGGCAGTGGTGTGTCAGAGCGGCTTTACTGGGCTTTTTCCCAATTGTTTTTAAAGAAATAGTATAGCCGCCCGGCTATACTCGGTTTTTCAATGTTAAAAAAAATATTATAGTTGCACTGCTATACCAAATTAATATTTCAATAATACATCCTTGTTTTGTTACCGTCTCAAGGACTCAGTAAAATTCACGTTTTTTAAAAAGCGAACGTACAATACTCGTATTAAACATGTACATACATATTTTTCATGTTTAATACACATTTTTTTTACAAATTCAGGTATTATACACATAATTATCACATATTATTGAATACAAATAATATATATTAAAATATTATATAGTGGCAGAAGTTTTAAGTTGTAATTTGCCAAAATTTTGCCCAAAAAAACACGTATGTATTTTATTCGTATAGCCGTGCGGTTGTACCAAATAATATCTATAAAGTATAAACTAATGCAACCAGGAGGGTCCTTTTTCATATTTATTTTTACTAAATAGTGTCGCCGTGCGGCTCTACCATTGAAATATAATGTATTTCAATAGTATAGCCGCATTTCTTTTTTTGGCCAAATGGAAATCAAAATTAAAGTTTTTTTTTTTTTTTTTTTTTTTTTTTTTTTTTTTATGTGCATGAAACTCTTCAAATTATGAGTTATTGAGCTAAATGTTAGTTTGCGCAAATACAAGGAAAAAGCTCAGTTTAAAATTCAAGAAGTATGTAATTTCATTACAAGATTTATTTCATACAAAAGTATGTAATAAGAAAATTCGTAATTTATCAATATTTTCAGTTGATATTGAATGATAGGATGTTCAATTCGTATTTGATATATATGCATGGTATTAATTATATGAGAGTTTGAGATATGTTGGATTGACACCAGAATAACGATGAGAGTTTGAGATATGTTGCTCTTCTTTCCTGCAAATTAAGAAAAAATCATAAACAAATCTTCTCAGATCAATGCATGCGGTACAAAGAAACAAGTTATCATCATCAATTGAAGTTTAGAAAAGTCAATAAATCAAAAAAGTATTTAATGTCATTACGCATCGGATCAAACAAAAATATTAAACATATGACAAGAATTTTTCACAAGAAATACCATAGTATCTTAACAATTCTGTTAATTTTTCTTGCTAATGGCGTCTGAGACGAGATTATTTATATTGTTTGTGATTGTACTGACTGTACGTATAATCTTCTGTGAATTTGTAAAGATTGTATGTCTTGGAATTCAATGGTGTCTTGTTGTTAAACTCAAATAATAATTAATTAGTAATTAGTAATAATAGTAATCAATTTAGCTTATCATAAGCATCATTTACTTGCATTAATATAATGAAAAGTCAGAGTAACCGTGAGAGCAAGCCAAGACCCGCACAAATTACATAGAAAACTTTTTATTTATTTTATATTTTATATTTTATAAAGTATATAAAAAGTCAAAGCTTTATTTTTGAAATCAGAGAGCAAGGACAAACCTTACAATCACAAACAGGGAATTAAACACATCTGATAGATCATACATACCAATTTCTTTCTTCTTGTTGCATTCAACAACCACAAAATGTATACCTTTTTACATACATAAGATTCTATTCCTTCTCTGGATAAAAGAAAAGTATAACAAGCACTATTTTCTGTCAACATATTATCTCCAAACTAATACATGGAAGCTATACGCATCGGATCAAAGCATAACGATGAAAGGAAGTAGGATCGACACGAAAACAACGATGAGAGTTTGAGATATGTTGCTCTTCTTTCCTGCAAATTAAGAAAAATCATAGACAAGTACTCTCAGATCAAAGAATGGGGTACAAAGAAACAAGTTATCATCATCAATTGAAGTTTAGAAAAGTCAATAATCAAATATACATACCTCTTGCATTGGCTGTAGGAGGAGATATTAATGGTGGCAATGCCACTGGTACCGTCTGAGCTGCAGGGTCATAGAAGAGGTAATCAACCTGATAATATACGTCACAGCTGGGATTAACATAGCTCCCAAAACCACTCCCATAACAATATATTTGGATATTTTCTAAAGCTTCATCTAAGCAATTGTTACATCCCAGCTCTGACAAATCCGGACTGCACTGCGCAAGTCCATATATTGTACTTATATTCTTAGAATATATAGAAACATTTGCATTTCCCACTGCAAACTTAACAACATCACCGCCAGCCGCTACTTCAACTTTTAGTACTCCCAGCAACGCCATCAGCCGTTGGTTAAACCCTTCCAGGACCGACAACGACGACGACACATTTTTGTTGCTGTACCCCGTGGAAGATGGAATCAATTCCACGGTTCCGTGCATGGAGTGGTTCGAGTAGCGTAACTTGCATTTTTCTGTCCACAAACTTGCCTCCCTGTCATTAGGGCAAGCCTCCATGAGATCGTATCTGGAGGCGTTGAGGCAAGTAACGCAAGCATCATGCTTCAGATCCCCTCTACAGAGCCCGATTGCATAAACTTTGTCAGAGTTTTCACCGTAAGCAGAACTGTAAAACCCGTAGCCGTTACTATTGTTGGAGGAGATGAGGGAGGACAAAACGCCATTGACGTTTTTGAGATAGGTGCTATTGAGAATGGTGGTATTAGGAAAGGCGTCAAGACAGTTGAACATATCAATGGCTTGAGTACCGATGACCGGTAACAAAATTAGGGGAAGAAATAATTGAAATCTAGTGGGAAAACCATTATGCCTGCCTTAATCTGTGCGCGGTCCATATGCATTGTGTTAATTATGTACAGATTATATGTATATATAGGATAATCTCTACATAATGAATGGGAACATATGAATTTTTAAATATCACGCAAGCATTATTTTTTGGTTACCTTATCATATCAAGACTACCACTATTGTTTTTGATTGTTGACCGTATCATATGTGAATGATATAAAAGATTAAATGTCTTGAACTTCAATAGTGGCAGGTTGTTCAACACAAATAATAATTAATTAATTAATACTAATATGAATTGTTTTAGCTCATCACGCAAACTAAGCAATCGATTATTTTACATTAATAATGAAAAAGTCAAAGTTGAACATGAAAGAAAGCTATGAACAGATCCTTGGACGTCATAGAATCAATTGACAAAGTTGCTCTGTTTCTCTCTTGATCCACATAAATATGAAAAAGAAGCTCATTCATGGTGACAATGCCGCTGGTACTGTCTGATTTTCAGGGGCAAAGAAGTGGTAATTAAGCTCATACCTTAAGTCACAGCTGGGATTAGCATATTTCCCAAAACCATTCCCATAACAATATTTCTGGAGGCTTCCAAGAGCTTCACCTAAGCAATTATTACATCCCATCTCAGACAAATCTGGATTGCACTGCGCAAGTCCATATATTGTACTTACGTTATTAGAATATATAGAAACACTTGCATTTCCCACTGCAAACTTAAGAACGTCACCACCGGCTGCCGCTTCCACTTTTAGTTCTCCCAATAACGCCACCAGCCGCTGATTAAACCCTTCCACGACCGATGACGACAATGACACATTTTTGCTGCTATAGGACGTTGAAGATGGAAGCAATTCCACGTTTCCTGGCATAGAGTGGTTTGAATATCGTAACTTGCAGCCTTCGGCCCACAAACTTGCCTCCCTATTATTAGGTCAACCCTCCATGAGCGCATATATGGAGCTGTTGAGGCAAGTAACGCAAGCAGCGGGCTTCAAATCCCCTCTGCAAAGCCCATTTGCATAAACTTTGTCGGAGTTTTCGCCGTAGGAGGAACTGTAAAACCCGTACCCCTTACTATTGTTGGAGGAGATGAGGGAGGACAAAGCACCATTGACGTTTCTGTGATAGGTGTCATTGAGAATGGTGGTGTTAGAAAATGCACCAAGACAGAACCTATCGTTGGCTTGAGTACCGATGATCGGTAACAAAATTAGGGGAAGAAATAATAGAAATTTAGTGGAAACCATTATGCCCTTAGGTTGCTCACGGTCCATGTACAATCTGTTAATTATGTACTGATCATATATATACCGGATAATCTGTACATAATTAATGCGAATATATGACTTTTAAAATATAACGCATATAAATTCTTATTTTGGTTACCTTATTGAATATATATCCCCTGCAGTTTGAGACAAGACTGCTTCTATTGTTTGTGATTGTTGACCGTATCATATGTGTTCAACTCAAATAAAAGTCAATCTAAGCAATTGATTATTTGCACTAGTAATGAAAAGTCAAAGTTAAACCATGAACAGATCCTTGGACCATTGAACCCGTCACCCACATATACGTGGAGTTGGATAGAGTCAATTAATATGCGGGAAGTGCGTGTCAAATGGCTAGTATATATTGAAAGCTGAATTGATTGGGCAGGGGGTTTTTAAATAAGTAGTGTGTAGCATAATGGGAGAATCTTAGCGACTATAAATTAAAACACATAAATTGGGTTGAGAGATTTAGTTTGGTAATTTTGTTGCACACATAATAGCCCAATTTGGACACATGGCATTATTTGATCATTTGAATATTAATCCTCAAGGTGGGGTCTATTAAGTTTGATCACCTGCATATATAAAATAACAAGATTAGTCAGACTCTTTATTTTAGTGCTTATTCTTTACTTGTTAGATCTTTGGTAGCTAGAATTTTTAGTTCTATCACTTCTATGCTATGTCTGAACTTGGAAATTATTAGTATAGCATACTACAAGCCCTATAGGCACAATACTTACTAGGTCCCCACAATTCGACTGGTTTTGGCTTGTGTTTGATCCATCACAAACACAAGCCAAGGTCTTGCCATGACAAAGTCTGCAATTTTGGGGTTTAGTTCCATATTGTTTCATCACAAACAATCATTCTCTTCAGAAAAGTTATTTGTTGCGGCTCTAATTGAGGCAAAGTTGAATTGCAAGGGTTCAACACTTCTGATTTCATCTACTTCTTGGCACAAAGAACAATTTTACAAATAAGTCCGCTATTGTTGAGTCTGACATTTAAATACATACGAAATCCTTTGTTTTCAATTAAGAGAAGAAATCAATCACAATTTACCTTGAACAACTACTGCTTCCTCTGTCTTCCTTAGTCTCAAATAAATGCAGATTGATATGAGTAGAACAAGTGACACAAGATTGGCACAAGAATAATGACGATTCGAGATGTGTTACTCTTCTTTGAGTGGTTAAAATTCAAAAGTCATCACAAAAGGTGGACAAAAATTAGCTTAGTGAATTTAATGCCCATTTTTAGCCTCTGCACTAGTTCTTTCTGTGAGTGCAGAGCTAATTGTAACCAGTTTGGAGGATGAATTCAAGCATATAGATGTTGATTGATTTCATCAACTCAAGATAATATATAAAAGTATACTTCACTGATTTGTTTAAGCAATCTAAACAATCATTAGCAAATCATGTGTATTACTTAGAGTATAAACACGTATGTATTTTATTCGTATAGCCGCGCCATTATACCAAATTAATATCTATAAAGTATAAACTAATGCGACTAGTAGGGTCCTTTTTTCATATTTGTTTTTATTTAGTATAGCCGCACGGCTATATACTCGTTTTATCTAATTTTGTTTTTAAAAAAATAGTATAGCTGACCGGCGATATACTCGTTTTATCTAATTTTTAAAAAGAAATAGTATAGCCGACCGGCTATACGCGGTTTTTCCCCATTTTTTTTAAAAAAAGCAATAGTATAGCCGTGCGGCTATAAAGTAGTATAGCCGACTGTACTAGGGGTTTCCCAATTTCTTTAAAGAAATAGTATAGCCGGCCGGCTATACTCGGTTTTCCCCAATTTTGTTAAAAAGCAATAGTATAGCCGCATGGCTATACGCTTTTTTCCTAATATTTTAAAAGAAATAGTATAGCGGACCAGCTATACTCGTTTTGTCTAATTTTTAAAAATAAATAGTATAGCCGGTTGTCTATATACTCGGTTTTTCCCAATATTTTTTAAAAGAAATAGTATAGCCGCATAGCATGGCTATACTCGGGTTTTTCCTTTTTTTTTATTTAAGAAATAGTATAGCAGGTCGGCTATACTTCGTTTTTTCCAATGTAAAAAAAACACTTTAGCCGGACTTCTATTCCAAATTAATATTTCAATAATACATCCTTGTTTTGTAACTGTCTTAAGAACTCGGTAAAATTCACGTTTTTTTTTAAATCGAACCTACAATACTCGTATTGAACATGTACATACGTAATTGATAACAATATGTTTAATAACATGTACATACTCGTATTTACCTTATTATATCATTGTATATATATCCCCTGCAGTTTGAGACGAGACTACTTCTATTGTTTGTGATTGTTGACCGTATCATATGTGAATTATATTGAGGTTATATGGCTTGAAATTCAATGGTTGCTGGTTGTTCAACTCAAATAATAGTCAATCTAAGCAATCGATTATTTGCACTGGTAATGAGAAGTCAAAGTTAAACATGGGAGAAAGCCATGAACAGATCCTTGGACCATTGAACCCGTCACCCACATGTACATATGTGGAGTTGGAAGTGCGTGTCAAATGACTAGTATATATTTAAAGCTGAATTGGTTGGGAGGGGGATTTAAATAAGTAGTGTGTAGCATAATGGAAGAAACTTAGCGACTATACAAGTCACAAAAGGTGGACAAAAATTACGTTAGTGAATTTATAATGCTCCTTTTTAGCCTCTGTACTATTTCTTTCTGTGAGTGCGAAGAAAATTGTAATCAAAAGCCCAATGTGACACATTTTTCCTGAAGAGATGACCCCAAATGAAGAGCATCTCCAACTTTTCAGACACAAAAAAAAAAACTCCAGCACCACCGGCCGGCAAGATCACACATTATCAACTAATTGTCATCAAAGACAAAAAAAGTGGTCCCTCTAGTCACCCTTGAGATGATGATGTCTATCAAATTGAATTGCAGAGTAGAGATCTTTAATTACGTAATGGTTTTTCTCAGGATGTGGATTGTTCTAAGGCCGGCACACGTGTGTGGGTGGTATGTAAAGCAGGTTGAAGTGTACAGTTTTACCAAAGATATGTTTTCTACTGTTTTTTTGCACAAGCAGAAGTTTGTACCGAAAGCAACTTTCCTCCGCTATTATTTGCCACTGTTTTTTGGTTCATACGGCGTCGACAGCATTATCAATACAAAATCTGTCCTTTAACAAAAGAACGGACGTCCTGCACCAATCATGCCTTGTTTTGACACTTTTATTGTGCATCTTGTAGAACAAGGAGCAGCTGAGTGTGAGAGTGAGTGTATTGGATTATTCACCAAGCCAATAGTATCTCTGCTGTGTATATGTATTGGATTATTGTTCATCTTGTAGAGAAAGGACCAGCTGAGTGTGAGACGTTATACTCTAAGACTCTCTGCATATTCTTTATCTTTAGCTCTCTCTCACTTAGTTTGAGCATGACTAACCATCCATGTCCACAAAACGGTGACAAAGAAAAAAGGGAAAACATGGAGAGAAGAAAAGAGGAGCTACAAGCTACAATTGAGAAGCAGGATGATCGTGTAAACCATCTTCAAACGAGTGCCTTCAACCTTGCAAACTACTACATTGTCTTCCAAGGAGTTATTTTGGGGGCTGTCGTCAACGCCACCACAGTCCTCCGATGCTCAGATCGTTGGTTCCTTTTCAGCCTCTCTCTAATAGCAGCCATACTCAATCTGGTTTCATTGCTTGTAATTGGAGGCAATTATAAAAGAAGCGTCATGCAGAGACACCATACCAAGAGTGCGCACATTAAATTGGAAAACGATCTGGGGAAGCTAGAAAATTCAGCTTCAGATCACGGGCTCAAAACTAATATATTATCATACTGGGAGTCGACAAAAATTGAAGCTTCAGGGCATGTTACTTGTCAAGATCCTACAACTGTTGAAATTAAGGATGAACCAGAACAAAGGCAGATCAGAAAGCGGGTCGTGCCGGTTGATAATCTTCACAAACAGCTGCGTGATTTCTACTTTCTACTTTGCATGGGTCTCTTTGTATCCTTTGCCGTCATCGTGGTTGTGGGTTGCTGGACCATTCCTTGCAAGAAAGCTCTTCAATGCATACCCCCCGTATCCAGCACTGAGAAATGCATTAGGGTTTGTGAAGGTACCAAGTGTATGAGCATGTGCACCGAATAGTAGAGCCTACAAGAGTTCTAGCTTTGAGCTGGGGTTATCCAAGTTGATTAGTACCAGCTTACGTTGAATTTGGTGTTTTCTTTCTCATAGATTGGTAATATGTATATAATAATAATAATAATAAAGCTTACTATATTATTTCATCTGCAATGGTTTATATGATTTTCTGGGTCAACAGATTTTACAAATAAGAATGAATACGACTTTCTGGGTATTATGAAAGAATTAGGCACAATCCACTATAACCATAAGAGTTGAAATAGTAGAAAGAAGATCATGCACAATCCAGGGTGGTCTATATTCTACCACTCATCATGTGGCATGCATGATCAATAGCCCTATAAGTCTTTTGTTTCTTACCTGCAGTATTTCATATTTATTTTTCGTGGCTGAGATCCAACTAAGCAAGTTTCTGTCACAAACTTGTGTCTCAGATTATACATATGGGTTTGTATTAAGTCCTTTTATTGGCTTGAATTTATTTTCAAGTTGTTGTGCTGCCACTCAAAGCAATCCTTTTGTTTTATGTACAGTTTATCCACATACTGCATCGAACCAACAGGAGTAAGTCTTGTGTGGAGCTGGCTTCGGCCAGCTGTAGTTGTGTGAGAAAGGGCAGCAGATTCTGAAGTACTTTCTTCCTTAATGGACCTGTGTATCCTCAGCCGACTGAATTTTTACGAGAACAAACACAAAATTAACCAAATTAAACAACATTTAATCTTCTAACTGTGATTAAATAAACTGACGAAAACAAAATTAGCCAAATGTGTTGACTGGAAGCTTTTTGGTTGGGCTGTGCTCTTTGGGTCTGGCTGTTTCGTAATTTTGAGAATTATGGGTTCTCATTTCTTGATGCCAATAATTATGGGTTTTCATTTCTTCTTGTTAGTCTCAAAGAAAAGTCCGTTTTCAATTTAAGAAAAAAACTCAAAAAGAACGAGCCGTACTATTTTTTAATTTAAATGATATATGAAATACTATTACTATGATTTTTAGAAAAGAAAACTCTATAGCAGTAATTTTTAGGTTTTTCAAAGGTTGTTATAGTATATTTGATCCATTTGAAAAGTTAAACGACTTTTGTCCTAGAGTTTGAGTATTACCCTTTTATTTTCTATCATAACACTGGAATTTGAGGGGGATTTATGCATCACCCAAGGGTTCAACATGTGAGCATTTTTTTGGGTACTCTGAAGTTGTACTATTAAGGTATGCTTGTTCTCATTCAATTTTAACAATGAGGTATGTTTGCATTAAAAATTTGTTGCAATGTGATCCTGCATTAGATTGATCATTAGAAGATCTGTTAAGTGATGACATGTCATTTGTGGGTTTCAATTTTTTGTTTACATGTAATAAAATGTTAATCAAAATTTGAAAAATTAATTGAAAAATAAGAAATAATATTTAAATATTTAAAGATTAAAAGATTTTTAAAAAAATAAAAAAATCTCTCTCCCCGCTCTCACACAGTCCAAATTCATCCCAAGTCGGAATCTGGCCAAGCACTTCATTGTCACGGCCAACGCCATTGTAGTCCACCATCCTCAAGACCCCCTTCCCCACCTACTTAAAAGGCGAGGCCTTCCGCACCACTTCCCCGTCCCCAACTTTCTTCTCGGTATTTAAGCATTAAAAGCAGGTGCTTTGGTGAACAAGTAGTGGGTTTCAGTTTTAAGAAATAAGCAAACCCTCATCGACCTCTACGAAAATTTGTCGAACATGTCGTGGACACTGAGCTCTCCGACCTCCTTATCCCCATCCTCTCCACCTCCGCCGCCAACCAATCAATTCTCGATTTCGAAATTAGGTGGGTAAGGACCGAACTGGGTAGGTAGGTGGCGTCGGAGTCTGGGTGGATGGCTGATTGATAAAGCAAGGATCTTGGTAACTGATAGCTGCAACTAATTCCATCTACCAGTTTGAATTCAAAGCATTTTTCTTTGGTTAGTGTATATTGTTTTGTATTTTGAATTTCAAATACTTGTTAGCTTCCTCAAAAGTAGGAATTTTATGTAATTCTGAATTCATGTACATCTTCTTATTGTCGTTCATGAATACAAGCAAGCACATGGTGGAGAATGTGTGCCTTTGAATCATATTTGCCGCTCTTTAGTGGTTTCGAAATCTGGGTGGATGCAGTGGCGGATCCAGGATTCTTATAACTTAGGATCATAGTGTAAAGTTCCGAATTTTCTTTTAGACGAAAATAACATTGAAAAATTAACTTATGTCACTTTCATTACTAATCAACTAATGAAAACGCAAATAAAAAAGACTAATAATTTAATGAAAACACAAACCCTAATCAAATATAAAAGAAAACCCTAATAAAGTAATATCAAAACAAACCTTAATCAATTAATGAAAATACTATCAATAAACTATTTGACAGGACCCGCCCCGAATTTCCCGGAACCCGAGACGAACCCTGCGGAGACCCCGGCATCACACCCACGCCGGGTTCACTCCTTAAAACTATGTCCTCTTTTACCAGAGAGGATTTGGGGCACTAGACTTTCTGCCAAAATTTTGGCAGAGTCTCCCCTGTAAATTGAACATTTCCCAAAATTTCTACCTGCATAAAACTCATTTTATAACCCAACCAACAGCACGCACAATATACTCTCATGCAATTTACATAAATGGCCTCCGGCCTTCAAATGATTCTAGCAGAACTGCCCACACTGTTTTCAAATTAACTTATTGCATCACACATGCATATAACCAATTCAAAATCCATCCATACACACCTTCACTTACTCAGTCCATCGGACAAGCCTCAATTCAACCAAGTTTCGGGACCAACCACGAGGTCCGCATCATACTCGATAAAACCACCTAAGTGGTGTCTAAGTCGTGGCTGCACCTAGGGCGCTATCCCAGGCTGCCTACGTACCCTACTAAGGGATCAAGCCACACGTAGCTCTTTCCTATCAATCCTGGCTCCTGATATCAATTAAACCATTACATCCATATAAATTCATACATTCTCGGGTTTATCCATCACAACACACTAAACATAATCACATAGCTCCCACTCATACGTCGGGACGCACCCGGCCACGTACGGGGTCTGTCAACACGCCGGCTAATCCAAAGACGCGTGCGACCTCACACTGGGCCTGGCTACATTCTCACCAGCCATCTTACCATCATATCTCCCACTCATACGTCGGGACGCACCCGGCCACGTACGGGGTCTGTCAACACGCCGGCTAATCCAAAGACGCGTGCGACCTCACACTGGGCCTGGCTACATTCTCACCAGCCCTCATACCATCATATCTCCCACTCATACGTCGGGACGCACCCGGCCACGTACGGGGTCTGTCAACACGCCGGCTAATCCAAAGACGCGTGCGACCTCACACTGGGCCTGGCTACATTCTCACCAGCCCTCATACCATCATATCTCCCACTCATACGTCGGGACGCACCCGGCCACGTACGGGGTCTGTCAACACGCCGGCTAATCCAAAGACGCGTGCGACCTCACACTGGGCCTGGCTACATTCTCACCAGCCCTCATACCATCATATCTCCCACTCATACGTCGGGACGCACCCGGCCACGTACGGGGTCTGTCAACAGGCCGGCTAATCCAAAGACGCGTGCGACCTCACACTGGGCCTGGCTACATTCTCACCAGCCATCTTACCATCATATCTCCCACTCATACGTCGGGACGCACCCGGCCACGTACGGGGTCTGTCAACACGCCGGCTAATCCAAAGACGCGTGCGACCTCACACTGGGCCTGGCTACATTCTCACCAGCCCTCATACCATCATATCTCCCACTCATACGTCGGGACGCACCCGGCCACGTACGGGGTCTGTCAACACGCCGGCTAATCCAAAGACGCGTGCGACCTCACACTGGGCCTGGCTACATTCTCACCAGCCCTCATACCATCATATCTCCCACTCATACGTCGGGACGCACCCGGCCACGTACGGGGTCTGTCAACACGCCGGCTAATCCAAAGACGCGTGCGACCTCACACTGGGCCTGGCTACATTCTCACCAGCCATCACCCAATCATATCTCCCCTCATACGTCGGGACGCACCCGGCCACGTATGGGGTCTGTCTACATAATCACAATATGGGGGGTACGTGGGGTAGTGCGTATAGCACTGTAAACTAACATTCAATCATAAAATCCATACATAATTTATACATTCAATTCTAATAATATAAACACCTTAATAAACAAGTAGCATCTGATAATTTCCCATAATCCCCATAACATCAGGACCTGTCTCTATGATCATTCTAACCCTCCTGGGAAGGTAGAACTATCCCAAAGGTCTCACAGTCAACCTAGGGTCAAACGGGCCTGCGGGGCCCACAACCTCCAATTTCCGATCCGAAAGTTCCAATAGGTTCTACAAGCTCTAGGATGCACGTCCTGCAAGTTTGGTCCAGATCGGACGGTCGGATCGCTCACGATCGCAGGATCGGACGGTTACTAAAACCCTAACCCCAGGGTTGGCATTTCCGGAGTATCCGGGACTCCGTTTTACGATCCGTCGAATCCTACACGATCCTGGTAATACCTAGATCGACATATTACAATCTCAGGACCATCCAACGGCCCAAACCTAGCGAACCCGGAAAATACGCGATATGCGATATCCGTTCGGGACTCTAACGATATCCAAATTGATATCCGAGCACACCTACGCGCTCATGACAACCTGAGGATCCCATTGGGACAAAAATGCCCCTCAGCTACAGTGCCCACGCGCCGCCACACGCGCCGGCAGCGCGTGGGTGTCCAAAGCGATACCCATCGCCGGAAAACTTCCAAATCGTGAGCCCAGACTCCTACCCTAGGTAAAACACCTAATTTGGAGTCACTTTTGTTCTTGGACGTACCCCAAAATCTGACCGGAAGTGGCCGGAATCTCATCCCGAAATCCGGCCGAAACCCAATTCGTAAATCGAGTTGCCTACGCTACAAATCGATCAATTCCTACCCAACAGGCAGCTAGATCACGGAAAATAGGTAAGAAAGCATACCTTAATCGCAAGATTTGGTGGCCGGAATCGCCGGAACGAGCTCCGGAAAATCTGGGTAAAAACCGGCCGTTTTTCTGCAATTTCCGGCGATATCACTGCCGGCTGACATCGGAGAATGGGTGGGGTAGGACGGCGGAGTCAGGCCGGTCATTTTGGGACCGGTCCCGACCCGAGTGGTGGCCGGATGAATGAACGGCCGGCCAAAACGTGGCCGGCTGTGGTGGCGGTCGCGAACCAGAGGAGAGAGAGAGGGACGCGCGGGAGAGAGAGAGTGTGAGTGAGACGGGGGCAATTCCGTCTTTTAACCAAAATCCCACTTCAAAATATTTACGATTATGCCACTGAGCTTCATTTGATCATATATCTCCCGTTACAACTCCGATTCGAGCCCACTACGTGTCTACGAACTCATCTCGCCGTGCTCTACGCAACAGTACATCCGGAATTCCCAAATTCCTTCCGGGTAAGAAAATGACTAAAATACCCCTATCCCACGGGTAAATTCTCAATTCCACTTAAATAAATTAAAACATGGGATAAATTTGGGGTCGGGGTGTTACACTATTAATCAAAGCACAAATCTCATCCAATAAACCATAATTTCAATTTCAATTGAATTAAAAACTTCATATATTATCATCAATTGGCTCTTTGGTTTGATTCCTCTTGTATTGGTCGTCTTCATGAATCATGACTTCATCATATAATTTTATTTTCCTTATCTATATATATAAAACAAAAGGTAGAGAATGGTAAAACATTCAAAATACCAGAAAATACCTTTGGTTAATTCAAACATTAAGAATTTAAATTATTTATTAAACGAGAATAATATGGTAAATTCACATTTTTTTTTCATATTAAAAAATTAAAATTAAAAACAAAATCAGATAATAGCTCTTACTTTTATGGAACATAACTACCTATATTATATTTTCTTAATTCAAAAATAAAACCAATTGACACATGCGTGAGCGTGTGCCAAAGGAGCTAGTAAAAAAGAAAAGGAAAAAAAGTTCAAAAATGTTGAAAAAAATAATGCTCATTTGTGTTCTACACAATTCTAGAGAAGTCAAGACTTCAAAAGATTGAAGAATGTTCCAGAAAAACCAAGAAAGCATGCAGCAAGGAATTGTGGAGAAGTTCACCCAGTATGTCGGTTGAACATGTGGCTGGAAATAAAAAGCCAAGTCGGTGGACTTGGTGATGTCGGCTATTCTCATCTATAAAAAGACTTGTAGCCTTCCCAAGCAAGGTGGAGTCTAACAAAGAACTCCCAAACTATTAGGGTGCTACAAGCTACCCGACCCAAACTAAGTCATGTATGTGGGGGAGTGAACCAATCATCTCCCAATCTATGAGGGAGCTAAGAGCTACCCAAATCAAACTATGTTGAGAGCCAATAAGCTCATTAATCAAAGTGTAAGGGTTAAATAGCCCAAACTAATCTAAGTGAAGGGCCAAATAGCCCAAACTATTCTAAATCAAGTGTAGTGGCCAATAAGCCAATATGCTAAGTGTAGAAGGCCAATTAGCCTACACCAAGCCATGTACTTTTCTTCTCCAATCTAATAAAATCACTTTATTCCCCTCCAATCTAACAAAAAATATAATTTATCTTTTATGTCACTAAGCATAACTCTAGGACCCACTTGGAAATCATTTTTAATTTGCCCTTATTTATTTTTGGATTTCCTTAGAAATCATTTACACTTGCATGTCTTTGATTTGAAAGTTGAGAGGTTTTTCTGTCTTTTTTGAAAAAGCTTTGGCTTTTTCCAAAAGTGAAATTTTTTTTATGGGTAAAACCTAAATTTACTTTTTAAAGGTTTCAAGAAATGAGTAGGATATCAAATTAAAAAATAATAATAAATAAGAGAAGAAAATGGAGGAGATGTTGACGTTGGACCGCTACTTGTGTCGGCGTAATTTACCTAGAGTCGCACTCTCAGAAGCCAACCCAAGCCAAGGAACGAAGGATAGGAAAGAGAGAACACAAGAGCAGAGTTTTACTTCGAATCTGTTTTTTTTAGCGACTGATCAAAACGACGTCGTTTTGATCAGACGTTAAAAAAAAAGGGGGGGTTAATTTATGGAGATGAATCATGCATGTTAAAGTAATTTACGGAGATGACCAAAAGCCCAATGTGACCCATTTTCCCTAGTGAAGAGATGACTCCAAATGAAGAGCATCTCCAAGTTTTCAAACCCATAAAGAAAACTTCGGCAGTACGTGCGTTAATCTTTTGGCCGGCAATCACATTATCAATTGCTAACTGTCATCAAAGACAAATAGTGGTCCCTCCACTAGTCACCCTTGAGAAGATGATGTATCAATAATTGAATTACAGAGTAGAGATCTTCAATTAAGCAATGGTTTCCTCACATGTGTGTGATATGCGAAGCGCACGTTGAGGTGTACTAACAGTAACAGGGGAAGTTTCCCTTTCAATGGTAAACTTTGCCAAAGAGAGGTTGTCACTTTCTAATATAGAGAAGCAGAAGTTTGTTTGTACCAAGAGCAACTTTCCTCGCCTACGTACCAAATTCGTCCTCGATTTTTTGTGTTGATTTGATACATCGTCGACAACATTATCAATAGAACATCAGTCCTTTACCAAAGAACGGACGTCCTGCACTGAGAAGTCTTGCTTTACTTTAAGTCTTTTGTTGTAGAGTGAGTGTGAGAGTGAGTTTGGATTATTCAAAAAGCCAACAGTATCTCTGTGTATTTATTGTATGGAGGAGGGGGTGAGTTTGGATTATTCAAAAAGCCAGCAGTATCTCTGTGTATATAAGTTGTATGGAGGAGGAGGGGACTTTACTCTAAGACTCTCTGCATTCTTATATCTTTAGCTCTCGCTCTCTTAGTTTAAGTATGGTTAACCATCCATGTCCACCCAATGGTGACAACGAAAAAAGAGAAATCATGGAGAAAAGAAAACAGCAGCTGCAAACTACAATTGATAAGCAGATCGATCGTGTAAATGAACTTCAAACGAGTGCCTTCAACCTTGCAAACTACTACTTCGTCTTTCAAGGAATTATTTTGGGGGTTATCGTCACTGGTACCACAGCGCTGCGATGTTCAGATCGCTGGTTCCTTTTCAGCCTCTCTGTAATAGCAGCCATACTCAACTTGGTTTCATTGCTTGTAATTGGAGGCAATTATAAAAGAAGCGTCATGCAGAGAAACCGAACCAAGACTGAGCGCAATAAATTGGAAAGTGATCTGGAGAAGCTAGAAACTTCACATTCAGATCATGGGCTAAAAAATAACATATTATCGTACTGGAGTTCAACGATAATAGAAGCTTCAGGGCATGTTACTTGTCAAGATCCTACAACTGTAGAAATTAAGGATGAACCGGAACAAAGGCAGGTTGTACCTGTTGATAATTATCAAAAAAAGCTGCATGATTTCTACTTTCTACTTTGCATGGGTCTGTTTATATGCTTTCCGTCGTCGTGATTGCGGGTTGCTGGACCATTCCTTGCAAGAAAGCTCTTAAATGCATACCTCCCGTATCCAACAATGAGAACTGCATCAGGGTATGTGAAGGTGGCAAGTGTATGAGCATGTGCACCGAATACTAGAGCCTTCACCAGTTCTAGCTTTGAGCTAGCGTTATCCCAAGTAGATTGGTACAATGTTGAATTTGGTGTTTTCTCATATATATGGGTACCATATTTTCATGTACCAAATAAAGTGTTACAAATAGTCCCGTGTCTCCATGTTTGTATTGCTTTCTACTATGATCTATTGCTTTCTTATCCTTGTTTTTTGGTTTGTTCTATGTAAAATCGATGGTTGTTTGTATGAAATTTCTCAGTAACTAGATGGTGTGATAGGCCACAGCGATTCAGTAGCTACTATCTAAGCACCATTCATAACAATTTACTTACAGCCTGCTCTCTCAGCCACCAAAAAGTTCAATATCCATCAAGGAATAATAGGTACAATATTATTTACGCTAACATTTAACAGAAAGATGAAATAGGCACTAGTATACCGATGATGAGATAAACAATTTACATACGTTTGGCGTATGTATATGCTGCCAAATTTAATTTAGTCAAGTTCGTTGACCAAAGAAAATACAATCTCCATGTTGACACCTGAGAGTTTTCGTCGTCTAATTGTACAATATAATGGTGTGGAACTGGCTTCAGACCCAACTGTATTATGAGAGAGGCCAGGTTCCGAAAACTTTCTTCCTTAATGGACCTGTATCCTCTGCCGACTGAATTTTTACCTAGGATCAAACAAATTGAAGAACACAATCTTTCTTATAAACAGTAAAATAAGTTATGAGAGTTTAAAAGTTGTATTGGTAATTTTGGGTGTTGTTTTCTTAACGCATTGTGGCTTTGAGGGCAGAGTTTTGTTGTCGCCATCAATGTTTTGGCTGGGCAGAGGTTTTGTTCTCCATACAGGTGTCTTTCCACAAATTTTTGCTTTTGTCTCTATTAATAAGCATATGTGGTATTTTTGAGAAGCATGTAAATTTTTTGCACTTAATATTTTGTTACTCTCTTGCTATTACTTATTATTAATGTTCAGATGTTTGATGTTGTTGTTGGTATATTTAATTATGGGCAATGATTTCCCCACTCATATTTTATCCACTTACACTCCTTTTTTAGTTATAAAAAAGGAGTGTAAGTGGATAAAGTAGGAGAAGGAGTGGAAGAAAAAATAATCCCTTAACACATTATTATAAGTATTTTTTTTTATTATGTTGGATTACAATCGGAATCCCAAGAGAACATACTATTCATAGGGTAAACTTTTGTGTTGGTATATTATCTTCTAAGCCTCGCAGGGTAAACTTTTTAGATTTAAATAGTATTGTTTTGTGTTGAATTCCATTTATGTGGTGATTTTCAATTTTTTTTTAAAAAGCTTTTATTTATGTAAAGAGATGCATTTAAGGGTAAGGCTCATTACATTCCCCAACTAGGTGTATCTTTCTAGTGTAAGTTTTACCCAGCCAGCTTGCAAGGTCCGTGCATGGTTACGGTTGATACATCCTCTTGCATGATTGGCGTGTGACAATGAGCTATCCTAATTAATCAAGACGATTTATTTCCTTGATTAATTAGGGCATTTATTTTCTTATTTTATATAGTTGACATATCCTTGTATAATGAAGAGATATTCTCCTAATTGTTTACTGTATCTATTTCATTGTAAAACATTCATGTAAACTCCTATATATCTCATTATGGAGAAGAATATAATCAACCTAAAGTATTCAAATTATATTCATATTTTAACAACTTTTTATAGACTTTTCTCACACAATATTTGTTGTTGAATTTTTATTTATTTATTTATTTTGGTTGAACAAGCAAAACTTCATTTAGACGAAAGAACACCCAAAGAAGAGAAAAAGGCAAGCAGAGGATCTAAAAGCTATTGGTATATGTCTCAGCTACACGGTCAAAGAAGAAATGACAAGACCCGCCCCGAATTTCCTGGAACCCGAGACGAATCCTGCGAAGATCCCGACATCACACCCACGCCGGGTTCACTCCTTAAAACTATGTCCTCTTTTACCAAAGAGGATTAAGGGCACGAGACTTTCTGCCGAAATTTCGGCAAAGTCTCCCCTGTAAATTGAACATTTCCCAAAATTTCCACCTGCATGAAATACATTTTATCACCCAACCGGCAGCTAGAGCTCGGAAAATAGATGAGAAAGCATACCTTGATCGCAAGATTTGGTGGCCGGAATCGCCGGAACGAGCTTCGGAAAATCTGGGTAAAAACCGGCCGTTTTTCTGCAATTTCCGGTGGTATCGCTGCTGACTGACGTCGGAGAACGGGTGGGGCATGACGGCGGAGTCAGGCCGGTCATTTTGGGACCGGTCCCGACCCGAGTGGTGGCCGAATGAATGAACGGCCGGCCAAAATGTGGCCGGCTGCGGTGGTGATCGCGAACCCGAGGAGAGAGAGAGAGAGAGAGAGAGAGAGAGAGAGAGAGAGAGAGAGAGCTGAATGCTTTTCTGTCTTTTAACCAAAAACCCATTTCAAAATATTTACGGTTTTGCCACTGGTGATGTTTTGCTCGTAACTTCTTCGTTACAGCTCCGATTCGAGCCCACTACGTGTCTACGAACTCATCTCGCCGTGCTCTACGCAACGGTACAGTCGGAATTCCCAAACTCCTTCCGGATTATAAATGACCAATTTACCCCTATCCCAAGGGTAAATTCGAAATTTCACTTAAATCGATTAAAACGGAAATAAATTTGGAGTTGGGGTGTCCCAAGAAATACTTAAAGCTTATACCTTGAACAAATTTCCGTTATAATAAAAAGTATTTTTCCTCGGACGTTAGGCTTTGGGCGTTTAGAAATGCACAAAGTTAACTTTTAAATTGGGTCTTCGCTTATGCATTAACTATATGGAAAATGCTAGGTTTACCACATTTTTCATACCACAATTGTACCACCTCTCTAATAGAGGTGGGCCCCATTGTATTGGTGGGCTCCACCTCTATTAGAGAGGTGGTACAATTGTGGTATGAAAAATGTGGTAAGCCTAGCATTACTCTAACTATATATATATGATCCAAAAGCCCAATGTGACACAGCTCTTTTCTCTACTCTCTAGGCGAAAAGAAGAAGCATCTCAAAATTAGAGGACCACCCAGCCGCGTAATCTTTTGGCAGGCAGCCAACATCAGTTGCTAATTATCATTAAACACAAATTAAGGGTCCCTCCACTAGACACCCATGATCTTGAAATGACTGAATTAGACTAGAGATCTTGAATTATTTCAATTGTTTCCTCCGTGAATTGTTTTAAGCCACATATGCTCAAAGCTTTTATGTGCGGGTGATCTGTAAAGCAAAAGGAGGTTGAAGCGTAATCCTTTTCAACAGTGTAAACTTTGTCAAGGAGATGTTCTCACGTTTCAATGGAGAAGCAGAAAGTTTGCACTTAGAGCAACTTTCCTCCGTTATGTTTTTTTCTCTGCCTTTCGTGTTGATTCGGTCCACAACATCGTCACTACAAAATCCGTCCTTTAACAATGAATGGAAATAGTGCCTTTTTAGTTTTTTCCAAGGTAGAAAGGGGAAGGGGGTTACCTTACCTCATACGTTTCCACTATGGTACTACAAAACATACACAGCAACATAAACAACATTGACTTTTGTTGTGTATGTTGTATAATAATGTGCAGCTGAGTGTGACAGTCAGTGAGTGTATTGGCATATTCAAAAAGCAGACAGAAGTACCTCTGTATATATAAGTTGTATGGAGGAGGAGGAGACTTGAATTACTCTGAACTCCTTGCATTCTTATCTTTAGCTCTCTTAGTATGAGTATGGTTAACCATCCATGTCCACCAAATGGAGACAAAGAAAAGAGAGAAAACATGGAGAAAAGAAAACGGGAGTTGCAAACTATCATTGAGAAGCAGGATGATAAAGTACGTCAACTTCAAACGAGCGCCTTTATCCTTGCAAACTACTACTTCGTCTTTCAAGGAATTATTTTGGGGGCTATAGTCACTGCCACCACAGCGCTCAGATGCTCAGATCGCTGGTTCCTTTTCAGCCTCTCTCTGATAGCAGCCATACTCAACTTGGTTTCATTGCTTGTAATTGGAAGCAATTATAAAAGAAGCGTCATGCAGAGACACCAAACAAAGAGGGAGCTCATTGAATTGGAAAGTGATCTGAGCAAGCTAGAGACTTCACCTTCGGATCAAAGGCTCAAAACTAAAATATTAACCTACTGGGATACGACAAAGATTCAACATCCAGAGATTGCTTTTCAACATCCTACAACCTCTCAACATCCTACGACCGTAGAAATTAAGGATGAACCGGAACTAAGGCATAGAAGGAGGGTCATTCCTGTTGTAACAAATCATCTACGTGAGTTCTACTTTGTACTTTGCATGGGTCTATTTATAATCTTTGCCGTCATTGTGATTATGGGTTGCTGGACCATTCCTTGCAAGAAAACTCTTCAATGCACACCCCCGATATTGAACGCCAACGATGATCAATGCATTAGGATTTGTGAAGGTGCCAAGTGTATGAGCATTTGCGCCCAATTCTAGGGCTTCAAGTTCAACAGTTCTATATAGCTTTGAGCTAGGGTTATCCAAGTAGATTGGAACGACAATAAAGTTCACCGTATTTTGATGCTCGTCATTATCTGTAATGGTTTATATGATTTTGTGCTTGAATAAGTATTTTACATATAAGACTTTCTGGGTGTTATTAAAGAATCAGGCCTCATATAAAAGATAATATTCTAATGAATTTAGGCCTTCAGCACAGAAAATAAATAAAAAAGTTGGTTTTTCTGCTTGTAACTCATATTTTCTTACTTCCATATGATCATATTTATTTTTCTTGGTAAGCTTCCAAATCAAAACACTTTGCTTCCTGTACATGAAAGCAAATTACCTAGTACCAAAACAATTTACCTATATGTGATAAGCTAAACCACCAACTAGTACAAGGGATAGGGTAGAATATTATTATAATATTTAAGAAAAAGATGAAATACAGGTACATAATCTATGCTAACAAGCCAAGCCACCACAGCCAATAAATATTTATTATTTATTTATTATTCTTTTAGATTTTAGTCTTTTCTTAAGGGGAAAAAAAAAGATTTAATAACCATATACATATCTCCTCTTCCCTCATCTCCCAACTCAATTGTGGCATCACTAGCAACACCGGTGCACTGTCTGCCACACCTTTGAGCACCGCCAAGCTGCACTACCAGCAGGGCCAGAGTCACACTACTAGAAAACTATAGTATAAGCCACAGTTCTCCTAGCCACGGTAGTTTAAGACATTTGCGCTAAAAACTCCTAAAGTTCTCTTCCTCTTTTGTTTAAAGATTTGTGAATTTTTTATTTTGTATGACTTGGGTACCTTAATATTGAGCTTCACGAACTATTTTCTTTTTTCTTTTCTCTATTGGAATATGAATTATTAATTTTTAAATCTTTAATAGTGTAGATGATGAAATTAGTATTTAATCAATTTAAAATATGAAATTCATGATAATTATGAAGAGAATACAAGGAAAGTTATAAAACCTTGCAATGGCTTATAAGGAGTTGGGCTACTCCCCCCAATTGTACATTGGTTTTGGGGTGGAATCTCAATTGCCTTCATTCCCTTCTAATGTGAGCAACCCAAGCATGACAATCAATTTGGCAACACACTAAATATTTTTTAAACACATGAAAGACATTAACCTTTTTTTTTCTTCAAGATTTAGAAATATAGTCCTTGAGGTTTCCTTGATCACTTCACAAACCCTATTTGAGATTCCTCTTGCAGTACTCGAATCCCCTTCTAGATTCCTCAAGCAGTGATAAAATCCCCCTCGAGTGGTTAAAATTCTAAAAGTCCAAAAAGGTGGACATAGATTAGGTTTAACACTCTTTTTTAGCCTCTACACTAGTTATATATGTTGAGTACAGAGAAAATTGTAAAACAATCAATTTGGTGAATTCAAGCATATATATGTTGATCTGAGTTCATCAATTCAAGATAATATATAAAAGTGTACTTTGATACATAAGATCAATTGCACGTTCAAGTACTTTAAAAATATGACCAAAAGCCCAATGACCCCATATGAAGAGCATCTCCAATTTTTCAAACCCATAAAGAAAACTTCAGCCCCATGTATCTTATTCGGCCGGCAATATCACAAAATCAATTGCTAATTAGTGGTCTGTGATCCCATATGAAGACAAATTAGTGGGCCCTCCACTAGTCACCCTTGAGAAGATGATGTATCAATAATTGAATTACAGAGAGATCTTCAATTATGCAAAGGTTTTCCTCAGGATGTTGATTGTTTTAAGCTTTTGTGTGTGGATAATATGCGTTGAAGTGTACTAACAGGGAAGTTTTCCCTTTCAACGGTCTACATTTTGCCAAAGAGATGTTCTCACTTTCCAATAGACAAGCACAAGTTTGTACTGAGAGCAACCGGCGGTCGACAGCATTATCAGTACAAAATCTGTTCTTTAACAAAGAACGGACGTCCTGCACTGAGAAGACTTGCTTTACTTTAAGTCTTTTGTTGTGTATAGAATCAGGTGCAGCTGAGTGTGAGAGTGAGTGTATTTGGATTATTCAAAAAATCAACAGTATCTCTGTGTATATAAGTTGTATGGAGGAGGAGGGGACTTCACTCTAAGACTGTCTGCATTCTTATCTTTAGCTCTCTTAGTGTAAGTATGGTTAACCAGCCATGTCCACCAAATGGTGACAATGAAAAAAAAGAAAACATGGAGAAAAGAAAAGAGGAGCTACAAGCTGTAATTGAGAAGCAGGACGATCGTGTAAACCATCTTCAAACGGGTGGCTTCAACCTTGCAAACTACTACTTCGTCTTCCAAGGAATTCTTTTGGGGGCTATCATCATGGCCACCACAGCGCTCCGATGCTCAGATCATTGGTTCCTTTTCAGCCTCTCTCTAATTGCAGCCGTACTCAACTTGGTTTCATTTCTTGTAATTAGAAGCAATTATAAAAGAAGTGTCCTGCAGAGACACCAAACCAAGATTGAGCGAAATAAATTGGAAAGTGATCTGGTGAAGCTAGAAACTTCACCTTCAGATCATGGGCTCAAAAGTAACATATTATCGTACTGGACTTCAACGATAATAGAAGCTTCAGGGCAGGTTGCTTCTGAAGATCCTACAACTGTAGAAATTAAGGATGAACAGGAACAAAGGCAGATCCGCAAGGGGGTTGTGCCGGTTGATAATCATCATAAACAGATGCGTGATTTCTACTTTCTACTTTGCATGGGTCTCTTTATATGCTTTTCCGTCATCGTGATTGTGGGTTGCTGGAC